AAAAGTCAGTACCTGGCAGCATCCCTGGTGCCCAAGGTGCAATATCTGACAGGAATTCTCTCTCTGTCAGTCCTCCGTGAAACAATCACGTCTGTAACAGTTGACATGGACATTTGTTTTACACTTTGTTGAAACTACAAAATCATGAAATTTTACAAAATTAGAGGAAAGGAGAATCATACCATTCAATCCAGGTTTGTTGTTCTTGTTCTTGTCATCTGCCTGCACAGTTGTCTTCCCTTCCTCCTCATCCTCGTCATCATCCTCTTCGCTCACCAGGCTCTGGTGACACAAGAAAGGAACACAATATAGGACAGGTTACTGTAAATATACACGACAGCATAACACTTTGTATGTCATTTTTGCTTTTAATTTGAGCTCTTTAAATTTCCTGTTCTGAAAGTAAGTGAAAATAATCTGCCAGTGAGGTAAGAATATTTCCAGTATATTTCATGTTTCCAATGTAAATCAATTCATTCATTCATTTTCTGTAACCGCTTATACTGTTAGGGGTCGCAGGGGTGTTGCAGCCTATCCCAGCTGACATTGGGTGAGAGGCAGGGTACATCCTGGACAGGTCACCAGACTATCACAGGGCTGACACATAGAGACAGACAACCATTCACACTCACATTCACACCTAGAGTCACCAATTAACCTGCATGTCTTTGGACTGTGGGAGGCAGCTGGAGTACCCGGAGAAAACCCACGCTGACACGCGGAGAACATGCAAACTCCACACAGGAAGCTCCCCCATCCAAAGGTTCAAACCCCCACGTCAGGTTCAAATAGGAACCCTTTTTGAAACACTCACTCTCACTCTCACTGTACCTGTTTTCACTTGTTTTAAGAAAATTAGGTTCATAGCAATTAATAACAAAAAAAGCCAAAAATGATCTTTTTTATCTCGTCATGCACCGGATACTTTCCCCTTTTTGGAAACTTCTTCAAATGAAGCAGTCTGACAATGAAACCTGCCCACAGCTCATGTCCACACTGAGGCCACAACCTGTGACGAGACTTTATTTTTATATTAACAAAGTTCTATTCTTTTGCCTCTTACTGATTTCATAATCCCTCTTTCACAACCAGCCCTCATTTTGTTTCTCCTCTGCTTCTCCCTTCTTTCTTGTGTGTCAAGAGTCGTCCATGGCCTAAAACAACAGTCCAGTCTTTGTACTGATCCCTAAACTAACTAACTGTATGCTGTGAAAAAAAATCTGCATCTTTTTCAGGCTTCGTCATTCCTTTTTAAAACTTGAATCAGATACCTTTTCTTGGTACCAAACTGCATAAAAATAAGGCATTCAGAAGCAGCGTTTGGTCTTTTCTTTGATTAATCTGGGTCACAATGTTTGACCCTGACAGAAATTAAACTTGATTAAACTTGTTGCCTCAGATATTTGAGGACATATGCTGACTAATGTAAGAAAAATAAAAAGTTAAGTTACAGATGTTCTCTCCTCACCATGTCTGCGCTGGGCTGGTACTTGTGCAGCCAGGTGGTTTTGTACTGGACCAGCTTCTGTCCTCGGTAGCGTACAGACGCCCAGCCACAGCCAGACTTCTTGGCTGGGTTAACCAGACGCTTGCAGTGTGTTGCCCAGGCACTGGGGGAGTTGAAGATCTGGCCCGTCTCCACCCACCTGATTTTCCCATCATTCAACAGGTCTCCTACAAAGTTCTTACCCTGAGGGAGGCAGAGAGGAGAGACATTTTAAACCAAGACACAAGGCACGTATGCAGGCTTGCTCCTTTAAAGCTACTCCTTATTGAATTTCATCAGTGCCAGGTTAGTTTGGCATTAATAGCACGTGCAACCTCACATGACTTAACTCTGGCATAAATAATGAACAACCACATTCTTACTGTATCCAACTGTTGTGTGTTATTACCAGGTAGTGTATAGCTAGCACGCCATCCCCTGGCTCTACCAGGCCGTCCTTGAGCAGCACCCTCAGGGTGATTCCTCTCCGGGTCAGCAGGGAACCCCGGCCAGAGCTGGACCGCAGATCTGCTTCCTCTCCTCCACTCAGCTCTTCCTCATCCTCCTCTCCTCCATCCTCCACCACCTGTGGAGAGCTCGGTGGCTCTGAGCCTGAGGACACAAACACACATTGATGGATCTTACTGTGCCCAGGTCTGCTTGGAGTGACACGTGGGTGTGATATTAATACTGAAAACCATAATCTCGGCATGTTATGATGCATGTACACAATGCTTCCTCATTAAACAGCCTCTTGTGAATGGTTTTATCACTGAGAGGCTTCACAATTTGCCAAAGCACCTGGCTGCCAGTTAAACATCTGTATATCAGAGTTACATCAGGAACAAAGCCAGTGTAAATGTCCATTATTCTAATTATAATGACTTTATAATGAAAGCTCCACTGTAATGGCAGCCGACATCATTCATAATTGCTGCATGCTAAAATGATAGCAGCCCTATCATGGTGAGAGGGATCTCAAGGGGCCAAAATAGGCAAAAGATAATCTAAATTGGCATTTCATTAATTACGGCTAAGCTATGCGGTTGGCCTTTTGTTTCCACCTCCCATTAGGGCACGGCTGTCTCCGCAAGAAGAGGCCTGTTCCCCCTCTCTCTCTGTTAATTTCCCTCAGTATTACAATTAAACCCCTCTTTCATTATTCTCACCCATATCTCTGAAAGCGTCCGAGAAGCGCCTTTAAATCCAACTCGGTCCAAAGCTGCTCCTTTTTCCGGGCACTTGAGGCTGTGTGCGGGTCTGAGCTCAGGGCAGATCTCACAGATACACTTCGCCACACTAGCTCCGGCTATTATTCAAAAACATAAAATGAAGGCGTCTGTGGCTCTGCAGTGTAGTTTCCTTGTTGTGTTGCTTTAATGTCAGTTCCCCTCCCCTTTCTTTCTCCCTCTCCCCGTCCTTGTCACTCTCCCTGTGTTCTTCTGTCTAACGTGCCATGCCGGTCCGCCTGCCATTATTCACACATTCATAACACCAAAAATACTACACAAGCATTAATAATGTAACATAATCAGCTGTGTGTGCAGGAAATGCATTTAATGTTATTAAAATCTAAACAATGTCGCGGTTAATCTGCGTTTCCTCCGGAAAGATGAAGTGTCGCCCCGTGCGCGTGAGCCAACCGCTATTTGGCATTTAGGCAGATTAAAAGTACATCCTGGAGATTATGGTGTCTTTATATGTAAGAAACACTACACGGCAGCTAAGCCCAGAGGTCTGTGGGGTGTTAAATCACGAGCTGGCCCCGTGTTTGATGTTATAGTGTGGGTTTCTTCACTACACCGAGATGTTCCTTCTTTATCTCCGAAAGAAAAGAAGCACATTTACCGGGAAGCAGCCTGCGGAGGGCAGCAAACCTCCACCACTGTGTCTTAGCCGGGCTTCAGTTCCTCCTACCTCCACCTGGTGGTAATACAGGCCTGTGTTCACACATATAACCGCATGTCTGGCTCCAAAATACTGTGTTGTTGTGATAGTGTGGTCAAAGCTGCAGTTGAGCAACAGTGGAGAAAGTTTTGTACAATTATGACTTACATTATGTTTCTGCTCCAGGTGACATTTCTGTCAAATAGGCATATTATGGTAAGGCTACTGCAGTGGTCCCCAACCCTTTTCCTTTAGGTAGGGGAGACCAGGGTTGGTTGTCACACTGTTCGCGCTTGTGTGAGTTGCTCATCATCAAAACATCATTCAATAGTCATTCCTACATTAATTGAAAGCTCAAGGTCTGGCTTGAAATGGTCAGTACAGTAAGTATTAAACCATCAAAGACACTCTGACGCACTGTGACACTCAACCCCATCATGAGGGTGGTTGTCCCTATATTTATGAATCGGGTTTCAGGGAAAAAATGATTAAAGAAGTGCAACTTTTTAGGTTTTTTTTTTTTTAGACACACCAAATAAGTTTTAAAATTAATACCACCTCTATAATAAAGCTCATCAATGCCCCCTGTGTTTAAACCATACATTTGAATACATTATACATACATTTGTTTTTAGATACTTTTTATAGGATTGTCAGTATTATGGATTTTTTTAACAATCATACAGACTTAATATGCTTCTTTGTTGAAAACTTCAGTATTTTCTTCTCTTTCTGATGCCTGGTTATTGTTGTATTTGCTGTTTTCTAATGCAGGATGAGGCTGTTTTGCAGAAAGTGAAGACTGTAATAGAGTTTGTATTCAAGTCCTCATCCTGGGAGAATTTTTTCAAGTTTATATCCTGAATAATGATCTAAAATTAAAAAAATAATAATAATTTTGCTATTCAAGGATATTAATTAAATACTGAGATAGGGGCCTACTACATACTTATATTTAAAAAAATAAAATAAAATAAAAATCTCACACCCTTTAAAATCAAGAAGGTCCCGCGACCTCCCTGGAGGCTTTGGGGGACTGTACTGGACTGTAATCCTATTAAATATGACTCATATTTAGAGATCAAACCACCCAACAACAGGGCTGGATTAACCTGTTATTGGACCTGGGGGGAAACCTTGTTGTTGAGGCCCAAAAGTCTTGCATCTAATACTTAAACTTCCAGTTATCAGCTTGGTAGTATCAGAGGCGGAGTGGGGGATAGCTTCTGGGGCTTCAGCCCCAAATAATTTCTCAAACACCCTAAATCTTTCTAAATCACTTTAGGCACAAATGAGACTATATTTTTAACATAATGCATTTGGAATACATGAACACACCTACAGCATTTTTCTGACACAACCTTGTATAAATACTTGTCTTAAAACTACAAACTATTATGGTAATGCTAAACAATTATTTTAGATTATTCAGAGCACCATTTCTTGTGTTTTATAACAAGTATGGCTTCCATTTGTATGCTTAACAGTCCCTCATCCAGTATTTAAAAACTACAATTCCCAAGAGGTGGAGCTTCTTCCACCAGGATGTGCACAGGTGCGTTACATACTGCCAATGACTACTGCCTGTCCACTGCTGAATCTTGCTTTGTCTGATAGCAGAAAGCTTAAAATAAGGTAAAACACTGCACAGATCTAAGCGTGCCGAAATCTCCTCTTTCAGATTGGACTCACTGATGCTTTCAGCACCTTCGCGAAGACTAACCCGAGTGGAGCGGTGGTCATCCTGCACATTCTTTGAAGGTACAATAACAGTCATAATTCTTTCTTAATGACACAGCCTTGTAAAATTCAATCATACTGCTGAATTGCACTGTTTACCTTATTTCAAAAATGAAATGTGAAATTCATCTTAATGAGCTTTAGTCTCACAGTACACTGCATGTTTATGTATTTTCTGCTGAAGTTTAATATGATGCATTCAGTGGCCTCTCTAGCCTCCTCCACCTCTACTTTGTTGATGTGGCCAAACATAAGTGAGATGATGCATCTCCAGTTGGTCGAACAGATTTATTAAGCATGAAAAGACTTGTACCATATACTGTTATTTGTTAGAACAAATGCAACCTCAAAAACACTACATTTAACACAAGAAACATGCACCCCCCCCACCCCCCCACCCCAAGCCTTTTACAGAATGTAGCATGTGTGTATGAATCCTATTGCTGACTTCATACATTTACATGTGTTTTATTTATTAAAAACAGTTATTCAGTCAACTACATCTTGTAAATGAAATAATGAAATGTTAACTGTTGAGTGTATAAGTACCTGATTAAAGAAAAATTTGTCCTGATATCAGACAATATGCTGTTCATAAATCATCCCTATCCATATCCTCTTTGCTGAAGTTCCCAGAGGAAACAGAAACTAATCTATGGAGTAGTAAGGACACACCACCACCTGGTAGGAGAACAGGTTTGAGTGGCATGGATAGACTTGTTCTGCACCTCTTGGGACAAACACAAGATTATCTCCATCAGTAGCATTAAATTCATGAATGTGGAACACATACCTCCCATCACACATGACAATGAGCCTGTTACTGTAACGAATATGTCCCATCTCACTGGGTAGATCACTGTTCCTTTCCTCAACCTTTAAACTAACAGCTGGCAAAGTAGGACAAGAGACACCTTCACTCGAGCAATCTGCAGCACTGATATAGACCCTTGTTTTCCAGCGCATGTTGTGAAGAGCAAAATAGGCACTGTGATGAACCGGTGTTTGGAAATCAGATGTGAGACTGCTGATGTTCTGGCCATCAAGAGCGTAGAACCCAAAATCTTTGTAAGCTTTGACGATGTGGTAGCTGAAGGTAAAGCTCCACGGCTTACCAGTGTAAATCCTGGATGTGTAGACATGTCGTTCTTCCCTTAGGTCATTTAGCAATGTTGCAAAAGGCAGAGCATTAAACTGAAACCCTTGTAACTTGCTGGCTTGGTACTGTGCGCCATCAAGTGTGTATAAGTCCCCAGCTGGTATCAGTGGGAAACGGATGAGTTTCAAAAGGATCTCAGGAATGGTTGTGTTTCCTCGGGCTGCCGCCCATCTCTCCAGTCCATTCAGGATGACAGTTTCATTACGAACCACAAGGTCTGAGCGAGACAGAAGAGCTTTGATCAGACCCAGTGGAAGATTTGTCCAGGCTGAGGAAAGGATCAGCGCCTCACAGTTCCACGCCAGGTAGCGAAGACAAACTTCCTGCAGTGCCTCATCCCTTGTATGAACTGCAAACTCATAGAAAGAGCTCTGATTCTGGAAAGTGGGATCCTCCGGAAGAAACAGTCTGAAAATATTTGCAGCCTCATTCTGTACTTCTGTCAGACCCCAGTCAGATGCCATCTTGAGAATGCAATAAGCAGAGGATGGTGTGAATTTAATCTTTCTTGTGTAGAAGTATCTGAAATGCAAACATTTTAATTAGCGAGGTTCAGCTATTGCTAATCAGTGCATACAATAGGCATCAAGTTAGAAAAGTCAGCTGCAGGTGGCACAGGTTTGCATGACAGAGTACTCGGCAGTTTAAAGTCACAGGTTTGCTTTTACCTGACAAAGCTGTTGGCGTACTGACTGCAGTCATAAGTGGTATTGATGCTGAGGCTGCTGAGGTCTGGCTGTGAAGTTTTCAGGAACGAGTTCAGAGAGAAGATGACCCTGTGAGCACAGATTGTCTCAAGGCTGTTGTTTTGCGCCACCACTGTGATGTTCAAGTCACAGTCATGTCCACTCTCAAACAGTTTCCCCAGCTGTTGAGAAAGGCTTGTGTTGTGGTCTACATCATACTCGTGGTAATCCCCGTTAATCAATATTGTTTCTGATAGAGATTAATATGGACACTGAGTAATTTTATTGTAAGGAAAAGGGGAGTTAGATTCTTACCTCTTGCTCAAACATCTCTTGCCTTACCATTTTTGCATCTAACACCAGCATCTTCTGTGTGAGCACAGTTATGGACCCCCCACCCACGAAATGTACATTGGACCAGGCTCTTCTCTGTCCCACTACATCCTACATCATCCATCCAGGTTCTGCCATCCCCTACACAAAACCAATTAGAGAATAAAAAAAATAGTGATAATGTAGTTGTTTGAAGCAAATATTGTTAAAAAAATACAGGTTACAGGTTTCCAAAAGCAGCATGTTAGTGTCTGGCACATGTATGACTGTACCCTGCTTTGAGTTTCAGAGGGTCACAGTCAAATGAACTTTATTACCGTTGCCAAATGTTGATGACTGTGAAGCTTCTGTTGCACCAGAGAAATGGAGCTGGCGACACACTACATGAGCGTCATTTATGTCCCAGTCATCATCACACACAGTCCCCCAAACTCCATCATGAAAGATCTCCACACGGCCCTCATAGTAATCTTGACCACCAACCAGTCTGATTAAACCTTCCTCATGACCTGTAGAAAAATGTGATGTTATAAAGTTTACTCAAATAGTAAAGATGAAAAAGAAGTTTGCATTTACATAAGTAAACCATGCCTGTTAATAAGTAATATCATGCCATGAGCCCAGGTTTTGTTTTGTATTTACAATAATATGTGACTTTGACAGAGAGATATCTTGCCTCCATTTCATTTATAAAATGTATGAAGGCCAGTTACTTACCAGTCGACTGTTACGTATATCCACTATTTGCCAGCTGAAAATTTTGCAGTGGTTGTAATACTATTTTGGTTAAAATACACCCTAGATTTTTTAACTGTGAGTGATTTGAGTTTATTACTTACACATATATTGCTATCAAGGGTGTTGTTTATTCACTCAATAAGGTTTTTTCTTTTAACTCTCTTTACTGGAAGCAACAACACAACAGTGAAATGTGACAAAGAAAACATCCATTCTTTCAATTTTTCCCTTATCTTTTTATCCCTCCCACAGTCACATCCCAGCAATTGTCATTGTACATCCATTAATATCGTGTTAACAATAGTCATCTCAAAGATGTCAAGGATTAAATATGATTTAAGAGAGATTGTCAAGTCTTTTCAAATGAGTTTAGGAGGCATTGAAGGGGAAATGTAAGCTTTTCCAGTCTAATGGACAGAAACAGCTCTTTCACCCACCTGTTGTGAGATGGAGGTTGAGGGTGTTTCCAATTAAGGAGTATGAGTCGCCTGGCCAACAGGGTGGTAAGGGCAAGAACAGTCTGCATGACTTTAGAGGTAATAGGCGCAAGGAAGAGAGGTGCAGGAGTGATAGTAGTATTATATGCTGTGCTAAGAGTTTTGAAGATTTCAGACCAGAATGTGGCAAGCATGGGACAGAACCATTACATTGGCCTAAATTCAAGAAAGCCTCAAACAAGTGTAGTGAGCTTTGTGCACAATTTTACTTTCACATTAAAGGTCGCCAGCGGGAGGGGCCATAAGAGTAAGAGTCTGGTAGACTCTAGAGGGCAGAAATAGGTGATTGATTACAGTGAGGGAGAGGTCTGAGGCCCTATAAAGGCCTAGGCATTTCCTAATTTGGATCCAGAGTCTAACAGAGTTAATTACCACTGGGTTTGAGGTAAAGTTGGAGGCAGTCAAAGGGAGTTGAGAGCCATCCAGGGAATGAAGAGAGAGTTTAGAGGATGCAAGTTCTATCTCCACCCATGCGGGGCGCATGTCGTCTGCTGTGTTGTTAATCCAATAAAAGTTTATGAGTATTACAAGACCAGTGTAAGAAATTGGGCAATGCTAAGCCACCGAGAGCTTTGGGGAGCTGTAGCACTGATCTCCAGATGCGTGGATTTTTATTTCCCCAGAGGATTTAAATTATTAATTGATCAAGTGATCTAAAATATGACTTCTTAATCAGTACGGGGATATGTGAAAAAAGATATAAGAACTTTGGTAAAACAATCATTTTAACCAAACTGACTTGACCTACTAGGGATAATGGGAGACTAGCCCATCTGTCAAAATCTAGTTTACACCTCTCAAAGAGAGGAGAAAAATTTTGGGAGAAAAGTCGATTGATTTCAAGAAGGTAATTTTCATTATTTTCATTGTTAAATTAAGCTGGGCTTGAACACATATGAAGTGCAGCAGAGGTTCTAGTTGCACCGGTTGAGGACAGTTTACTCACCAGTAGACAAGCTGATCAGGAAAAGAATACCGAATAATAACAAAGTCTTTTCTTTCATTTTGATTGCAGTGCACTGGGGAAAGAAGGAAACAAGGAACAGCACTTTTTAGGTTTTTTAATTCTATGTTCAGGACATGTGTTTAATAGTGACCATTCACTACAGCTTCTTTACACCCAGAGCTAAGTCTGACAGACATTAGACCACCATGAGAGCAACAAGGTTTTCAAGAGACATACAGAGACGTACTGTAGGTGTATTTTCTCACACATGACCCAATATACACAAACACATGCAAATACAACTTTGCTGAGCATTTATGGTGTGACATAGATTATTTACCATAATGACAAATTGTCCAAAATTTGCTCCAAAGTTTCTCTCTACACAAATAATGTGCATGCCATCAGTAGCCTATACATTTTCTGGTTAAAAGTAGAGATGAACTTACCAGAACTCAAAATGAAGTGAACAAAAGAAAGGCATCTCACTGAAGGAACAATAGTGAAACTCTGAGCAGAATTTAACAAGCTGTAAACAGCTGTTTTCCCGGAATGACCACTCCCACTAAAAGGGTGTTTCAGAAAAATAGTTCTGATGTCACGTTTTATTATTCCCACAAAGGCTATTATTTAAAAGTGATTTCTACCACACATGCAGTATTTATGTTCAATTTGTTTATGGTGCCATGGTGTTATGTTAGCATGCTTATTAGGCATTAGTCATCACCAACTCCTACAGCCTACAACACTAAAATGGAAAAACACATGTTTTATAAAGATGTCAGGAGGCTGCAGGGCCTTCTTTTATTGCACATCCTCTGTCTTGAATAAGCTTCCTTCTTGCAATATGTAACAAAAAAGCAACAAGTGAGAGAGAATTGACAGGGGTGTCAAACATACAGCCGGGGGGCCAGAACTGGCCCACCAAAGGGTCCAATCCAGCCCTCTAGAAGACTTTACACACCCAATATTGATGCACTTAGTATGGATCAGCTCAACAGCTCCAAAGCTGCTGCACTGTGTGAATACAGTTTTCAGTGGCTCTAAATCAGAAGGAGCAAACCCTGATTTTACACTATTTGCTTTTCTTTTATCAGTTCACATCTTGAGTGAGGGTGAGCCCAAACATCAGTATCACTATCCAAATAAACATATTAAACAATCTTTAGTGGTCATCTTCCCTGGTATCATTATTAGCTTGTGTAACATAAATCACTTTAGGCACAGGTGTGGACAAATGAGACTATATTTTTACCAAATTCATTTGGAATACATGGACACACCTACAGCATTTTTCTGACACAACCTTGTATAAATGCTTGTCTTAAAACTACAAACTGTTATGGTAATGCCAAACAACTATTTTACATTATTTGGAGCACCATTTCTTGTGTTTTATAACAAGAATGGCTTCCATTTGTATGCCTAACAGTCCCTCATCCAGTATTTAAAAACTACGATTCCCATGAGGTGGAGCTTCTTCCACCAGGATGTGCACAGGTGCGTTACATACTGCCAATGACTACTGCCTGTCCACTGCTGATTCTTGCTTTGTCTGATAGCAGAAAGCTTAAAATAAGGTAAAACACTGCACAGATCTAAGCGTGCTGAAATCTCCTCTTTCAGATTGGACTCACTGATGCTTTCAGCAGCTTCGCGAAGACTAAGATGAGTGGAGCGGTGGTCATCCTGCACATTCTTTAAAGGTACAATAACAGTGACAATCTGTAAAATAACAGTCACAATTCTTTCTTTATGACACAACCTTGTAAAACACAGTCATACTGCTGAATTGCACCGTTGCACATCTTTAAGATCTTTAGTCTCACAGTACACTGCATGTTAATGTATCTGCTGAAGTTTAATATGATGCATTCAGTGGCCTCTCAAGCCTCTTCTTTTCTTTATTGATGTAGCCAAACATAAGTGAGATGATGCATCTCCAGTTGGTAGAACAGGTTTATTAAGCATGAAAAGACTTGTACCGTATACTGTTATTTGCCAGAACAAATGCTGTATTGAGACTCTAAGCTCAAAATCATTACATCTAAAATAGGAAACACGTACCTCCATTCACACTACAAGCCTTTTACAGAATGTAGCATGTGTGTATGAATCCTATCACTGACTTTCTCAAACTTGACACATTTACATTTATTAAAAACAATTATTCAGTCAACTACATCTTGTAAATGAAATAACTAATGTAATCTGTTGAGTGTAAAAGTACCTGATAAAAGATAAGGTTTCTCATGATAACAGACAATATGCTGTTCATAAATCATCCCTGTCCGTATCTTGTTTCCTGAAGTTCCCAGAGGAAACAGAAACTAATCTATGGAGTAGTGAGGTCGCACCACCACCTGGTAGGAGAACAGGTTTGAGTGGCATGGATAGACTTGTTCTGCACCTTTTGGGACAAACACCAGATTATCTCCATCAATAGCATTAAATTCATGAATGTGGAACACATACCTCCCATCACACATGACAACGAGCCTGTTACTGTAATGAATATGTCCCTCCATCTCACTGGGTAGATCACTGTTCCTTTCCTCAACCTTTAAACTAACAACTGGCAAAGTAGGACAAGAGACACCTTCACTTGAGCAATCTGAAGCACTGATATAGACCCTTGTTTTCCAGCGCATGTTGTGAAGAGCAAAATAGGCACTGTGATGAACCGGTGTTTGGAAATCAGATGTCAGACTGCTGATGCGCTGTCCACCAACAGTGTAGAACCCAAAATCTTTGTAAGCTTTGACAATGTGGTAGCTGAGGGTAAAGCTCCACGGCTTACCAGTGTAAATCCTGGATGTGTAGACATGTCGTTCTTCCCTTAGGTCATTTAGCAATGTTGCAAAAGGCAGAGCATTAAACTGAAACCCTTGTAACTTGCTGGCTTGGTACTGTGCGCCATCAAGTGTGTATAAGTCCCCAGCTGGTATCAGTGGGAAACGGATGAGTTTCAAAAGGATCTCAGGAATGGTTGTGTTTCCTCGGGCTGCCGCCCATCTCTCCAGTCCATTCAGGATGACAGTTTCATTACGAACCACAAGGTCTGAGCGAGACAGAAGAGCTTTGATCAGACCCAGTGGAAGATTTGTCCAGGCTGAGGAAAGGATCAGCGCCTCACAGTTCCACGCCAGGTAGCGAAGACAAACTTCCTGCAGTGCCTCATCCCTTGTATGAACTGCAAACTCATAGAAAGAGCTCTGATTCTGGAAAGTGGGATCCTCCGGAAGAAACAGTCTGAAAATATTTGCAGCCTCATTCTGTACTTCTGTCAGACCCCAGTCAGATGCCATCTTGAGAATGCAATAAGCAGAGGATGGTGTGAATTTAATCTTTCTTGTGTAGAAGTATCTGAAATGCAAACATTTTAATTAGCGAGGTTCAGCTATTGCTAATCAGTGCATACAATAGGCATCAAGTTAGAAAAGTCAGCTGCAGGTGGCACAGGTTTGCATGACAGAGTACTCGGCAGTTTAAAGTCACAGGTTTGCTTTTACCTGACAAAGCTGTTGGCGTACTGACTGCAGTCATAAGTGGTATTGATGCTGAGGCTGCTGAGGTCTGGCTGTGAAGTTTTCAGGAACGAGTTCAGAGAGAGGATGACCCTGTGAGCACAGATTGTCTCAAGGATGTTGTTTCCCGCCATCACTGCAATGTTCAAGTCACAGTCATGTCCACTGTCAAACAGTTTCCCCAGCTGTTGAGAAAGGCTTGTGTTGTGGTCTACATCATACTCGTGGCTTAGATCCCTGATGATTGGTTCTGGCTCTGATGGAGATCAATGTGGGAACAGTGAGTGATTTTACTGTGAAGAGAAATTGGCATCTAACAGTTTTCCTTTATGTCACCATGGAAGATTTACACCTTTTGCTTAAACACTGGTTGCCTTACCATTTTTGCATCTGACACCAGCATCTTCTGTGTGAGCACAGTTATGGACCCCCCACCCTGGAAATGTACATTGGACCAGGCTAATCTCTGTCCCACTACATCCTAAATCATCCATCCAGATGTTGCCATCCCCTACACAAAACCAATCACAGAATAAAAACATTTAGTGACAACAAATATTTTTCAAAATTACAGATTACAGAGCAGTCTATTGAACTGATGTTATCAATGGTTATCAGCCTCATAGGTATGGGTTAGAAGGGGCCTGCTACATCTACTAGTATATTTAGAACGGCATTATTAGCCCATTAAATGGCTGTGTTTATTCATCGGCAGCAACCTCCAGTGGCCGTAGTAATTGTGACTGCAGCAAAAGAAGAAGTCAGGTGATGTAATGTTAGTATAAAGAGCAAGAAAGTCCACGTAGGGACGACTTTTTTGACCCAAGAGACGGTGCCCCCTTGTGAAACTAAAAGTTAGCACTGACTTAGCTTAACTGATGTTAATAAGTTTGTTACATCATGTTGCATTACATAACAAACATACTTATTTAACCCAAACAGTGATCTTTTTTCTAAACCAAAAGACACAGCATGTTCTGACCCTACTAATAGATGTTGCAGGCCCCTTCTAATCTATATCTATGAGGCGTATAACCACTGATAACACCCATTCAGTGAGTGATAACACTCAAAATGAGTGGTTTAACAGTTTCAGATTTAGCTTTTTTTACCATTGCCAAATGCAGCTGACCCTACAGCTTCTGTTGCACCAGGGAAATGGATCTGGCGACACACTACATGAGCATCATTGATGTCCCAGCCATCATCGCACACAGTCCCCCAAACTCCATCATGAAAGATCTCCACACGGCCCTCAGAGTGATCTTGACCACCAACCAGTCTGATAAAACCTTCCTCATGACCTGTAGAAAAAAGTAATGTCACAACCAAGTTTAGTCATCTGAGTTCAGTGATATCCAAATAGAAAAAGAAGAAAGAGAAGTCAGCATAAATCATGTCTGTATTATATGATGCCAATATGAGCTCTGGTTTTACTTTAGTTTTACAGTAAAATCCTGGTCTTTCTCATAAAACTAGCTTTTGATTTATTGTTAAATTAAGCTGAGCTTCTACAACAGCTACACAGATTAAGGACAGTTTACTCACCAGCAGACAAGCTGATCAAGAAAAGAATGTTAAACAGTAACAAAGTCTTTTCTTTCATTTTGATTGCAGTGCACTGGGGAAAGAAGGACACAAAGAACAGCACTAACTTGCTGTATCTGTAAGGTTTTATGTCCTATGTTCAGGACATTTGTTAAATAGTGATCATTCACTACAATTTCTTTACACCTTTTGGTCACTTTTATTTAATAGTCCATTTTAGAATTTGAAATAAGTTTCATTAAGCCAGAAATAAGGTGACCATGAGAGCAACAAAAGTCACAAAGTTTTTGTAGCAGTGCTGGTTGGTTTTCAAGAGACATACAGAGACGTACTGTGTATTTTCTCACACATGACCCAGTATACACAAACACATGCAAGTACAACTTTGCTGAGACAGAAAGTATTTACCATCATGACTAACTGTCCTTCATTTGTCCCAAGTTACTCTCTACACAAATAATGAGCAAAGCCATCAGTAGCCAATACATTTTCTGGTTTAAAAAAAAAGAAATTAACTTACCAGAACTCAAATTGCCTCAAAAAAACTTCATCTCATTTAAGGATCAAGTAGTGAAACACTGAGCAGAATTTAACAAGCTGTATACAGGTATTTTCCAGGAATGACCACACCCATTAAAAGGATGTTCCAGAAAATAGTTCTGATGTCACATTTTATTATTCCCACAAAGGCTATTTTTTAAAAGTGAATTCTACCACACATGCAGTATTTATGTCAAATTTGTTTATGGTGCCATGGTGTTTTGTTGGCATATTTATTAGGCATTAATCATCACCAACTCCTTGGGAAGTGAAAATAGTGTAGTTGTTGTATTTTGTCCAAGATTTTAGGGCAACACTCTGTAGCCCACAAAGATGTCAGGAGGCTGCAGGTCATTCTTCTATTGCATATCCTTTCTCTTGAATAACAGTCCTGCTGACATGGTTTGATTCTATTGAGTACAGTAAATCTTAACTTAAAACTTTTTTTCCAAACATGCAATTACTCATTTATTCATATGATTTGACACACCCTCACCTTTGTCACTTTGTAGACTGCAGTGACATCTTGAGGTCTTCTTGCAATATGTAACTAAAAAGCAACAAGTCAGAGAGAATATAACAGGGGTATCCAGCTCTTTAGATGACTTTACACACCCAATATTGATGCACTTGTGAAGGCCAGGAGGTTTCAGGAGCACCCTGACCAGAATACAGCTCTCTTAAACAACAAGAATACCTTCTGTTTTGTCTTTGACCCACTTTTCTCTCTCTCCTCAGTGATCAGTACCTGGTGGAGTTACTGGAGGATGGAGGCGTTCTCACTCTGCTGGACATCTTGAGCCAATCTCAGAGCAAAGAGGAGGAGAAGGCAGAGGCCCTCCGTCTTCTGCTCGCTGTCTCAAATGCTGGTCGCAAGTACAAAGAGGTTATCTGTGAAATGTTAAAAATGTATTAAGATTTTTTTCTTGAATACATACAAACTCCTTGATGACGCTGCTTTGTAAAAACAGTTTGCAACCTGATTTCATTCTATGTGGGTTATCTATTTTTTCTGTTTCCCATCCGGATCATTTGTGCAGCGTTGCAGGAGCCATATCAGTTTTGCCCTCTCTATTTCATACACTCTTGCAGGTGTGAAAGTCACAGCAGAGTGCCTGGCTAAGTCAAATGCAGATGAAACCCAAGAGACAGTATGCGCCCTCCTGGAGTCCCTGTCATGTGGGAACCCCAAACATTGAAACCAAATCCACAAAGGTCTGATTGCTCTCATACCTCCCCTAAGTCCCAGCATGTCATCATATTTAAAGATATTGAACATTGCGCAAAAATATTGTCAACCAGTAGCTTCAGTCCAAAAGAATCTGTATCAGACTTCTATCTTAAAACAATATGGGTGAAACCCTGCTGCTGAGGCACTGACAAAACTTCAGACTGTAAATTGTTTAGTTTAATTTGCACATAATTTTTCTTAGGATATTGTGGGCAGTTCATTGTTTGTTTTGTAAATGGATGAATGTTTTCAGAATGGACTTCTTTACACTAAAAACAGGGAAAAGTTTGAATGGGATGTTATGTATGTGGCCCATGAACTAAAATGACACCCCTGGAATATAACATAAACTATGGGGCTTCCTATCTATCTATATATTGTGGTTTCCAAAAATATATGCACTTTATGAGCTTGTGAGAGTCTGAAATAATGATTTCTGAAACACCAGAGATGTCTTTCAATCTTTTAATGCTTTGCGCAAAGGGTCAGGCAATCATACAGAGTAGAAGGCAGTCTGCAGAGTATAGACAAAAGATATCCTTGGTGGGACTCCTTTATAGACAAGTTAGGGAGGAAACTGATAATAAGATACTTGCACCTGCAAGGACATCAACCGGCTAGGACAGGTTCTGTGGTCAACAAGTCGACTTAGCCTTGAACAGAATGCAACAAACATAACAAATCCTGTATGGTATTTGATTGTGTAAGCATTTTTAAGTCACATGGGAGGCAGTCATTGGAGAGTTCTATCAGTGAGCAATTTACAAAAGGCATTTGTTCGAGCAAAGTTAATACAAGTGATGGGTAAATACAGTTATATCTTAATTTTCCATTACACTATCTATCTAATATATTGCTTTCACCAGGTGATTATGGACCTGTGGAACGTCTGTGTCGTGTGTACTGAGCAAACCAATGATTGGAGACATCAACATTTTCTCCAACTTAACAGAGATAAGATCTACATAACTTAATTGTCTTTGGACTCTTTTTACACTTTTTTATTTTTAATTTATTTAGTTTTTTTGTAACATGAGGGACATTTCTTAAAGTAAACTATATAAGTTACACAGACTTTAAAAGTAGGCTACTTTTTAAAAAAATTAGGATCGATATCCTGATCGATGCTTTGGCCACACACCAAGGGAGCTGTGACGGCGTTGCTAAGCAACCGTTAGCTAACTGCTTCTATAAACAGAGTAAGCTAGCTAAAGGGAGAAGATAAGCAAATCACGCTATCGAGAAATTACTTGTTTTGGACAACAGAAAATTAGTTATTAGGTTGTTTTGACTTTTTAACTAACAATAGCTAAATCAGCTACAGCCTGGACTCTACATTACAGTGGTTCTTGGAGAGAGAAGAATAAAAAACAGCGTTTTAACTTGAGTTCACCAACGTGGAAATGAAGACAGGCTCGATGTCAACACAGGAAGAACAAGCTAACATTGGCAAAGTACTGAGTTTTCTCCGCGAGTGGGACCGAGGTGACAGGACAGTCCGCAGCCGCATGTTGAACACCTTCCTGACTCAACACAAAGGGAAGACATGTCATGAGCTGGAGCTGGAATTTGCTCAGGTTGCCAGTCTGTTCCTGGCTCGACTCACCACCTGGATGAGACTCACGTATCCTTTATTCAAAGCTTAGACATTTCACCACACTTTTACAGGGGCCTTGCTGAATTTGGAAACTTGCAAAGACAACATATTCAGTCAATTGCGTAAAATAAATGAACAACAGATACATAAATGCAACAATATTGATTCACTTTTTTATCTCTTCATTTTCACAGATATGTTAGTCTTGTTAATATCATCCACACATTTTATACAATTCAAGTTCACACAATTTATAGTCTGTTGTGTTTTTAATATTTAATCTGCACTCAGTATTTTGTGGACCAGTGCTAGCTTTATTTGAAGCTTTGTTTAAAGATTATAAAATACTAAAATATTGATACTGCTATAAATAACCAAAGGCCACTGAAAACATGTACGTTTCAAGATTTGTCTTAATAGTGCCAATGGACGGGGAGCATTTGAAGGTTATTCCAGAGCTTTGGAACAGCTACTGCAAAGCCACGATCTCCCTGACCCACCAGCCTCGATCGTGGGACAGTTAAAAGACATTGTTCTGAGGATCTACGAGGTCGGGGGTTGGAGTAGGGGCAGAGAAATTCAGCAGTACACTGGGGTGCCAGCCCATGTATGGCCTTAAAAACAAGTAAATAATAGTAGTAATCTAATACAAAATTATATGCTCAATCACAGTTAGGAAAACTATGAATAAACTATACATATTAAAAAACTATTAAATGAATACTTAATTTCTTTTCTTTGATATTTTTATCATATACAGGTATGCAATGATGATTGTTGGGTAACATGTTGATGTTGCCTAATGTCAAGTCTCAGCCAGCAGTCATGCTTTTTATACATAAAAGCAGCAGTAAGTGTGCGCCTTATGACGAGTAACTAGCGTGCACCAGAGCCCATCACAATAGGGTGCACTGGGGCCTGTGGTAACTACCTTACACCACTGGGTAGAAGGATTTATTAGGATGGGGTGCCTGCTGAATGCAACATTTGATACAATTTTTTTTTGGAGTTTTTCCTCATGTTCTTTACAGCATACCTGTGCACATTTTACTGTATTGTAGCTGAAAACAAATCACATATAAATAGTTTAGAGTCCTGTAGGGAGTAGGCGTACTTCTTGCCCCTGCTCTAGATTGGCTGTGCTGAGCTGACACCCAGTCCTTATCTGAACATTCAGATACATGTTTGGGACATTCTTGGGACTGCAGCTTAAAGCTATTGGGGTTTTCCTGTCTGCATCAAGCCAGTGAGTGAGATAAAGACTGCATCATGATCTGTAAACTACTGTATCTGTGCACTCACTGTGTAGTTTTTGTCTTTGACCGACTTTTATTACTCTCCTCAGTGATCAGTACCTGATGGAGTTCCTGGAGGATGGAGGTGCTCTCACCCTGCTGGACATCTTGAGCCAATCTCAGAGCAAAGAGGAGGAAAAGGCAGAGGCCCTCTGTCTTCTGCTTGCCATCTCAAATGCTGGTCGCAAGTACAAAGAGATCATCTGTGAAAGCCATGGTAAAATATAAAAAGTGTTTTTCTTGAATACATACAAACTTCCTCATGCCCTACACATATGATGAGTGTAGTATAATGTTGCATTTTTAGCACTGTTCACACCTGTTTGCAAATCGATTTCGTTCTCTGTAGTTTATCTATTTTGCCTGTTTCCCATTTGGATCATTGGTGCAGTGTTGCAGCAGCCATTTTATACACTCTTGCAGGTGTGAAAGCCACAGCAGAGTGCCTGGCTAAGTCAAACGCAGATGAAACCCAAGAGACAGCATGTGCCCTCCTGGAGTCCCTGTCACATGGAAACCCCAAATACCAAAACCAAATCTACAAAGGTCTGATTGCTCTAATGACTTGTACCTCCCCTATGGCCCAGCAGCTGGTCTTGCACACCTTACGCACTGTGCAGGTAAAGTATGAGAGTGCACAGTTAGCCTGAGCATGTACTTATCATCATTGTCAGAGCGTTCAGGAGCCCTCAGCCTTGCTCTTTCACACAATGGGCCGTATGGGAAAATGTGATAACATATGGGAATCAGTACAAAAGTTCTCTCACTATCCTCTCTTGCAGTCCAAAATGAAAACAGCCCATCACAGCATTGTAGAGCCTCTGCTGAATACGCTCAGGTCACCGCACCTGGAGGTTCAGGATGAAGGTGAGCTGAGAAAATGTTTAAAACAACATGCGCAACAACGCACATTTTGCTTTGAACTTGCTTTGAAATGACAGATGAATCCACCATCCTGTCATAAATGATCACCTTTTAATATCTTGTCTAATACTCTTCTCCCCCTGTGTGTGTCTCTGGCAGCTATAAATCTGATCTTGGAGTTGAAGTGTTACGATGTGAGGCCGCTGCTGCTCAGCGGACTGGTGGCTCTGCTGAGACCTACGCAAGAGGAAGTGAAACAGCACCAGATTATGGAAGGTGGAACTTCTGTTTTTATTTGTGTTGCTTTTTTAAAAGTGAAGTAAGACTGATACAGTTCAGTGACCCTTTTAGACCGATCAGTGACAAGTAGTGCATTTCCTTTAGGACCATCTGAGTTATGCTTATGTAGCTACAATTTCAGAAACAGATGTGTAAATTTCCGCCTTCTCAGACCCATCAGTTAATGTGCAGACATTTTGTCACTTCTTTTTTACATTAAGTGACATAGTTGTCACATTAACAACATGTTTTGTTGGTACATAGGGTATACAATCCCATCAGAGTGTGAGATAATCAAGATGACTGAATCTCTGCCTGTGTTTGTGCAACAAGCTGCTGCAGCCAAAACTATACGGTACGTACTATTAGTCCATTGTAATGTACACAACAAACAATGTTATAAAGTGATATGTAAAAAAAAAAAAAAACACCTGTACCTGTTTATTGCTTTAATAATAGTAGTATAATAGTTTCAGCATGTTATCAGACATTATGGATATATTTTATGGTGTTGGATGTGTTGAAGCTTGTTGACTGAGGACAGCCAAGAGGTTTCTCATGAGCTTCTCTCTCTTGGAGTGATCCAACATCTTCTGTATGCTATAGGCAACAGAGAACACACTGATGCTCAAATACAAGCCAGTCTGGCTTTGAAGGTACGAACATGCTTGTAGACAGGCACACACTGTATATATGCATGCACACACACACACTGATATCTTCATCTTTGTGCAGCACTTTGTCTGCTTATACCCAGTTATCGAGGAACGTGTGCAGAGGGGCATTGGTGGCACACTGTTTGCAGCCTTTATGGTGAGATTTAATAACTTTGTAAATGCTAAGATAGCATCAGTTAAAAGGTTAATGTGGACGCTGATAGAAGGCAGTACTAACAGATCCAATCCCCTCTCTTCAGCACCATGGTGACACTTTGTACATGAATATGGACGAAACACAAGCAGAAATCCTGCTAACTAACAAGGTTAACATAACTGAAGGTGATGACTGCTATTTGTTTATCATTTTTGCCTTTTTTTCCTCATTCATGTGAGATGACAATGTGAGAATAATTGTTTCTTCTGTTTTCTTGTCAAACTTTGCATTCCAGTTTTGGATGGTGACACTAAAGGCTGACAAGAAGGACAAATCCTTTTAATAATGCTGATTGAATAAACTAGAAAAATGTAAATACTGTTTGTATTTTAATAAAAGACAGTTTACTTCCTAATTTGCTGTCTACCTTTTTTCTTTCCTTGAATTGTGATCACTTTGTATTTTATATGTTACATATTAACAGCTTTAATACAGTTTTACATTTAATTGTTATTAGTTTGCTTATCACAAAATTTGATTTAGTTTTTTCTGTGCTTCTCTCAGCATTTGGAAAGAAGTTTTCTTTTTTTAATACTTTTTATTGTCATCATATCATTTCATGAATCTTGCCCATTACGAAGCTCATGTACTGATGACATTTCTTTCTGTTTTTTTAGATGAGAAATTATGTGAATCTACGAGTCATCCAGTGATACATTGGAGTAACAAACTATTGATATACAATGAGAAACAAATAGGTTTGAACCGGTTTGAATTTTAAAGTATGTTATCCTAATTTTCATGTCATGGAAAAATATCTAATGTCTAATCAGTTTTTTTTTTCAGTATTTTAACCCTCCTGTACAGCAACAAAAGGCTAAAAATAAAATAAATAAAAAAATGCCCACACATGCACGCACAAAAAAATGAATAACTACAAAAAAACTAATGATAATAATGAGTAAATAAAACAATACAGGAAAATAAATAAATAATGTACAAATACAAAAGAGCACCCCTTGATGACTGTCAGACCTGATACGAAGGAACAACATTCCAGTAGCTTCAATTCATTAATCTTTTCCCTTATGCTAGTAATTTGACCACTTAGACCCTCTTTTTTCAAACTCATTTTATAAGTGAAGTACTCCATCAAATATGTTTGTAAATAAGTTTTCTGAATGTTTTTTTAATGATAAATTACATTGTGGTCATTTTCATTATCCACTAATGAAATAAAAGCCTCCTTTAATCCAGTGTATTGATGATGATAATAAAAATAATATTATTTTTTCGTTGCACAACCGCACACACCGCAGTTACCTAGTTTTATTTTTTTGACCGCCCATCGGAGATGACGTTTACGCACTTCCGCTGCTTCCCTGCAGCGGATTGGACGAGCAGCGGCAGTCCGCCCTGAACGTGGCGGGAGCTGAAATGAATCCGTGAAGTAAACAGAAGAGCTTGTGCTCTGCAGAGAAATGATATAAGTCTTCACACATGGTGTTTGGATATGAGCAGGCTGCATTCAGCGATGGTTAAAGGAAAGAGAGCCGGACTGGAGATGGTGGAGACCGCGAAGACAAAGCGGAAGAGGTCAAACACAGCTGTGAAACAAGGTAGCAGCCCCATGATCATGTTATTTAACTTACTATGTTAAAAGACGGACACAGACACTTTGAATATTGTGCATATTAATATGATAGTGAATTTGAACCAACATGTGTCAATGACTTTCTGCAAACATCCTGCAGTCTGCACGAGATTTATGGAAGATTGACACAATTAAAGCAACACATGCATGGTGTAATGTTATCCTGTTCAACAGACACTCACAGACATTACATACTGACATTCTGATGTTGACGTTACATTTCTGCAATTTTGTTTGAAACAGTGTGACAAAGATTTTCATTGAACTGATTTTGGAAGTATCCAGCCTCGGAAATTAGACATTGCAGATTTTTCTCTGATTGCTTGGGCACTATTTTTGAACCAATAGCCACAAATCCTTACTCAAAATCAGCAAAACATGCATCTCTTGCTAAAGCAAACACTTTATGCAAAATTCTTTTCAAAAAATTGTGCTTTTGTATCAGTAAAGTATTAAAAAAACATCATTAGAATAAGCACACATAACACCAACTACACACTGATATTATATATTAATAACATTTGTGGCTTTAAAGTGAATTTTTTTTCCTCAAAATGTTCTAACACTCTAACACACAAAAAAACTAAAGCACAGCTGTAGAAAACCAACATTTCTGTTTGAAAAAAAATGAAATAATGAGGCTTAATCTCCCCTTTTTAGTGGGTGTGGTTGAAGACTTCATCCACATCTCTCTGTCCAATATTGGCCTCCATTTTTGTCCGCACCTTTGTCTGTAGCCCATTTATAGTGTAGGGATGCACGATAATACAGGTACATCATCTGTAATGGCTGATATCGGCTTTAAAATTAACTATCAGAATCAGCCAACATGCTTTTTCTTATTTTGCACAATGAATAAATATTACATACATTGAAAAGCGCTGTATTTCATGTCTCCATCTTCTGGTGGGCCATCATAGTAAGAGTAGACATGCATAATATGATGTTAATTCCACTACAGAAGAGACATGATGATCACTTAAAATAAGGTTGGGAAAAAGTGGATATATCTGTATCGGTTATCAGTTACTTGCTTGAACATCAGTGACGTTTGCCTTATTAAAAGTCTGTTTTGTGTAAATTAAACTAATGTTTTTGTTTGCCCAGAGGAAACCTCGAATGCCTCCTCACCATCCACATACCACACTTTCCCTGATCCTGCTGATGTGGTGCTGCTGCGCTCTCAGCTCCTCCGCTGGTACGACAAGGAAAAGAGAGAGCTGCCATGGAGGACTCTGGTAAAGAATTTTTAAATTTTTTTACTGGTTTTGACAAGAAATGTTGTCTTTTATTAATCCAAGAATTTGTTTGTCGGAGACAAACCTTTGTTATGTTTCATGTTCATGTTTGTCACTGTACAGATCCTAAAAGTAAAACAACAAAAACAGGGATTACAAAGTCACAGTAAATGAATTTAGGTTAGTGGTTTTCAAACTCTTTGTACCCAAGGCACACCAAATGGCATGCCAAAATCTCAAGGTACACCTGTATTTATAGTTGTGCACAATAGACTTTATAATGTGTGTTACCACTCTTATAACAACATAAATGTTTGTTTTTATTTACTAATATGAAATGACAACCAGCTATTACTCATGAAATATTTATTAACAAAATTATTCAAAAATTCATTTTACGGGATGTCGGTAGTGTATGGGTTGTGGCGGCGCCCCATATACAGAGGTGATGCCTCGCTGCAGTGGTCGTGGGTTCGACTCTGGCTCGCGACCATTTGCTGCATGTCATCCCCCAACTCTCTCTCACTCCCCCATTTCACTCTCTCCTGTTAATTAAATTGATCGACGCACCAGTGACACATCCATTTAAATGGGAAAAATAAAAAAGACAGTGTAAGATAATGTGATGTGTCACACACCAGGAAATAGGAGCACACAACATACTGATTAAAAATCAAAATAAAATTAAATATAATTCATAACCGTTTGTATAGGCCCAATTGAATATTGCAATAATAATGTGTGGTTAATCTTAATTTCATAATGATAATATCTGACCGTATTTCTACTAAGGTCTTTCCTGTTATGCCTTGGCTTTTTTAGACAGTATTCTCATCTGGTTTTCAGCACGAATTCCTTGAAATTACTTTAATTTTGCATTTATTTTTACTGAATAATAAAATCCATCATTCAATGTGGTATCCTAAAAGGCTCCTTGTATTTATTTTACAGGCTGTGACAGAGTCAGACCTCAACATCAGAACGTATGCAGGTAAGAAGATGTTTTCTTGTCATAATTAGTAAAAAACAAGTAAAGTCCGCACACCAAAAAAGCTCCAATCAAGTGTGATTTATTTATAGCATGACGTTTTGAGCTATGTCGGCTCTTCCTCAGATGCTTGTAAGCATCTGAGGAAGAGCCGACATGGGAAGAGCCGACATGGGTCGACTTAGCTTGTTTTTTACATGTTAACTTTTTTGGTCCAGCACCCACCCTCATACGGGGTAAGATGTGCGTGCTGTTTTTCCACTTTTCTTGTCATAATTACACATCATTAACTGCTGTAAACACTCTCCATTAAACTGTTTCCTCTCATTTTTTTCAGTGTGGGTTTCAGAAATCATGCTGCAACAGACCCAAGTGGCCACAGTAATAGATTACTACAACAAATGGATGAAGGTGGGTGTAGTTGAGAGTTGTTCATCACACTGGAGTCCTTGCAGTATATAATGTAATCAATATATTGCACCAATTTAAACTCTTTCTTCTTATATTCCAGCGTTGGCCCACGGTACAGGATCTTGCAGCCGCTACACTAGAGGTGATCATTACAAAAGCAGTGTCTCTGAAGATGAGGCTGGTTTTAAAATCGTATTGATTTCAGACTAAATTTACTGATTTAATTTCTGTGTAGGAAGTAAACCAGATGTGGGCGGGTCTTGGCTACTACTCCAGAGGAAGAAGACTGCATGAAGGAGCTCAAAAGGTCTGTGTTGTGATCTTGTGGCTCAGAGCAAAGATGTAATTGTGCTAAACAATCACTTATGAAATATGAAGGTGCCAAGTGTTCATTGTATCACTGGTCTATTGCAGGTGGTGTCAGAGCTTAAAGGGCAGATGCCTCGCACAGTCGACGGCCTTCTGAAACAGCTACCTGGAGTGGGACGCTACACTGCTGCAGCTATAGGCTCTATTGCACTGGATCAGGTGTGTTTCTGTGGGTGAGGAAAAATTGTGGGGCCACACTTGATAGCTGCACTGCCTTGTTTATCACTGATGACTGAAAAGATCTCTGTCGCCTAGGTTACTGGAGCCGTGGATGGCAATTTGATCCGGGTGCTGTGTCGACTGAGGGCCATCGGTGCTGACAGCACAAGTCCTGCAGTAACAGAGGCACTTTGGTGAGATAAACACTTCCAACTGATATCCTTGGTTTTGATCCCAGCACCTACTTTAATGTCTCTGAATGTTACTGTGATGCTGTTGTTTTATTTGTTACCTGCCTTTGTAAGTTCTGCATGCAATAAACATAAATGTCTGCCGGACACCCAAACACATCTCTGTAATGGTCAGATATGAACTCTGCATACAATTTTCATTGGCTTTCATAAACACACTGTTACAATTGTTGCACTAGTCATGTGTATATCAGTAACTTATTTCATGTTTTTTTGAATTAATGAATGATGTTTTTGGCACGTGTTTGATAAAGAAAGAATCCCAAAAAAGGGGAAATTTTGATGAATTGAAGTCATAGTCACAAACTCTTATAAAACATGCAGTATAATCCAGGTCTGATTTATCCAGTTGTATGCTCAGTACCTCCCAAACAGACATCTCTTTCCAATGAGGAACTCAACAGAAAGTTAAACTTAATCTTTGCTCTCTTCAAAGCCAGATAATATTGACAAAAAACAGTAATTTTACCTTGCTAAACACGGGAGCTGCTGGTCTACCACTGCCTTGATCAGTAGTTTTTGTGTGACGTTTGTGTTAAAGGGTTAATTTTGATTCAACAAAGTCATACAACAACACAAACTAACTGATCGAGGCAGTGGTACACCAACAGCTTCAGTGTTCAGTGAGGTTAAATTACTGTTTTTGTTAATGGAATCTGGCTTTGAAGAGAGCACAGATAAGTTTCATTGCCAGTTCAGTTCCCCGTTGGAAAGGGCTGTCTGTTTCGGAAGTACTACACATAGGACTCAATAAATGAGACTGTGATTGTACTGCACGAGTTGTGTGAGAGTTTTTAAATGGATATTTTGGTATAGTTGTGCTGTTGTTAAGCGTCGACCCCGATGACTTCAATGCATCAAGAACTTTTCTCTATTCTTGATTGTGCGTTCACTATGGAGGCATGCAAGAAAAATGTTTTCTTCATGAATTCAACGTGCCATGAGCTGAGATACACACATTTTCAATTGGGGGCTGAAGTATTCCTTTAAAATATTAAGATATAAAAGAAATCTTTGAGGGGTATTCCTCTGTTTAAAAAAAAGAGAGAAATATTCCTTAAAGATATAAAACAGAAAACTGGACGGGGTTTGGGAATCTGAAAGACAATCTAAAGACAGTCCAATCCAAGTCCAAATATGCTCTCTTTACTGTGAAAAAAAATCTCAGCGTTTCATGTGATTACAGCACTGAAAAAAAGAAATATTTAATACCAAAGCCAGTCTTTGTAAAATGGTATTAATGTGGTTTTAAAGTGGTTTTAAGGGGGGGGGGGGGAGATTGCTTAAATGAATACGCTGTGATTCCAGTTTTTGAGTTATTTTTTTTCTGATCAATTTCAGGAGTCTAGCCAACACACTGGTGGACCCTGAGAGACCCGGGGACTTTAACCAAGCCATGATGGAGCTGGGAGCACGAGTCTGCACCCCAAAAGGACCACTGTGCAGCCAGTGTCCCGTACAGGCTCACTGCCACTCTTTCCGCAAGGTAAAAAATGTCCCATGTGCTAAAGTAGTGCTAGTAAGCAATGGTTTGGGTTGTGCTTTGCTTTGGGCTGTAAATGCAGACGTGCTAAAACAGATTAATACTTTAGATCGTAGTGAAAAGGGTGGGATTTGTTTATTTCTCAGTGTACATGATGGTTAACACAGCGTGTGTATGTGTAGGTTCAAGTCAAACAAGAGACAAACTCCAGGAAGCTCTTGGGGAAGCTAGACAGGAAGTCATCCACCCTGCCTGATATAGAAGACTGTAGTAAGTGTCCTGACTCCTCTTCTCTCCTTCAGACCTCCATATGGTCATGACATTATATTAAAGCACTTTATACTCTCTCAGTGAACAGTGGGACGTGTCCGCTGTGTCCCACGGAGCCCTGGGATGATGAGTTGGGAGTTCAGAACTTCCCCAGAAAGCCGGCGAAGAAGGCGCCTCGAGTGGAGCGAACTCTGACCTGTGTGGTGACGAGACCTGGCGAGGAGGGAGAGGACGAGTACCTGCTCACACAGAGGCCGAACAAAGGTCAGTGCTCGCAGTGTGTGCCACTGGTCAGGGATCTGTATGTGGTGGTCGAGAGTTGGCTGCAAAAGGAAGTTGTCTCCAGCCTGATAATCAGATTGAAATGCACTTCCTTATTTGAATTGAGGAATGAATTGGGGAAGTGAGCAGTGATTCATAGGTCCATTATTCTAATAGACTTCAATAACTCTGCAGCTTTTACGCCGTCAGAGTTTATTTTGATTTTTTATTGTCATTTTACTCTAAGTCAAGCAAACTTTGAAGAATATTAAATACAGAAATGCAGCAGTGAAAAGAAACTTAACTCAAGTAGTTCTACTTCTCGTCACTTCAGAGAGCAAATATTGTACTTTTTACTCCACTACAGTGACTTGAAAACATAAGTTTTCAGGTCCTTTGCAGATTCAGATTGATAATACAATCAACAACAAAAATTCTAATGTATTATTACAGATTTTAAAAAAAATAATCCTGGGGGGAAATTCACAAGTATATATCAGTATATAAAGTAATTAAAATAAGCTCCACCTTTACCAGCTGTAACATTTAAGTGATGAACACATAAATGTATCAACACTTATAATACAATAATTTATTCTGAGTCCAACAGTCTTCATTACGCTGATACGTTTGTACTTTTACTTAAGTAGTAATTTGATTGCAGAACTTTTACTTGTAACGGAGTATTTTTATTCTATAATATTGCTTCTTTTACTGAAGATAACTTTTTTCTACCACTGCTGAAATGCATTTAAAAACAAAACAAACAAATAAAAAAAAACTACATATATTTAAATGGGCTGCATGAACAAATTCAGTATTATACACATTTATACACTTTATTGTTTTATGTGATCATTATTATTATTATTCTCGTCTTATATTGACACTGGGTATTTTACTCTTTTATTTTTGTCTAATAATCTAATTATAATAAAAAATAATTATTCTAATAATTCTAATTAATTTATTTGCCTCAGTGTTTTCCTCAGGACAGTTAATTGCCAACATCACCCATCTGTTTTATTGTTGGTAGCCTATTTATCTTTATTGTTGGGGTTCTTTTCTTTTCATTTTTTCCCCCCATTTACTTTCTGTATTATTTAAACTGCCTGATTTTAGTTGCCTAAATCCTGCTGTTTTAAGTCCTTGTAAAACCATGTTAAGCACATTGTTTCTTTGTTTGGAAAAATGCTTTATAAATTAAGTTTATTACTATTACTATTGTTAAAAATGTGACTCAAAATGCAAAATTAATTAAAACTGATAATAAAATATGTTAACAATAGAAAAAAGAAAGCTCCAGTTAATCTTGTGCATGTGCGTTTGCGTTTAAAGGTTTGCTGGCAGGCTTGTGGGAGTTTCCGAGTCTTCTGCAGGAGGAGAAGAGCTCTGAGATGAAACAGAAGAGGGCGCTGTGTGCTCAGATCAGCGGGATACTGGGAACCCCTCTGACGGAAAGCCTCGTCCAGTATGTGGGAGAGGTAAGCCTGATGTTTACCACCCATCTGTCACACACACTTTCATATGTAAATAAACCCTTTCTGCAGCCTTCTTATGCATCACTGATTGGCTGTTTGCAGGTGGTTCACATCTTCTCCCACATCCACCAGACGTACTTGGTTCACAGTGTGTGTTTGAAGGAAGCTGACACACTAACACAGACTGAAAATGCACAGTGGCTCACCAGGTCTGCTCTGCAGGAGGCGGCTGTGTCCACGGGAGTAAAAAAGGTTTTTATTTTGTTTACACAGTGTGTGTGAAGCTTTGCTGAGGTCCTAGGCAGCACCAGGAGAGAACAGAAAGCATGCTTTTGCAGCAGCAGTGTATTTTTCTACATGTACCTCTGGTGTGTAGAGACACTTGTACAGTTAACCTGTGTCACATTACACTGTGTCAGTGATTTTAAGTCTTTAAATATGAAGAAAGTGTGAAGGGCAGGTGCAGTTGTTGAGTTTGTATAAGACAGTTTTGACAGCAGAAGTAAGCGAGTGAGTGTCCACGTCTGCTCATGTGTCATCTGAATAAATGGGATCAACATATTTAATTCTCCTGCAGATTGTGAAGTTGTGCGACTCTGTAGACAGTCAAAAAGAACAAACTTCTAAGGTAAGAATCCTTCTGTATATTATATAATGTACCTTATTCCATGATCATATACTAATGACAGATCACACTTTCATCATTTGTCTCTTCATGTCTTATATAGGATGGAAAAATACAGAAGCACAGCGGCACAAAGAACAACAAGAGACCACAGACTTCCAAAAAACCCAAACTGAGTGCAGCTCACAGCGGCAGCAGACAGCTCTCCCTCAGCTCCTTCTTCAACAGCGTTAAAAAGGAATCTTGATGGTACTGTTGTGTGTCAAAGTCATACACATGTGCCTTACTGCCAAAGCATCACAGTGTGTTGCCACATCAAGGTATTACTGTGGTCCAATCAAATTATTTTAACAAGATCAGTTTTTAAATTCTGAAAAAAATGCACATTTTAAAAAACGATATTGCTCCTGTGATGTTCCTGTCGGGACTTTTAGTGAATCAACAGTGTAGTTTGATTTGTAATGACCTCATTGTAGATAATGTTTTTATCACTATATTGTAACTAGTCTACATCTTTTACAAGCAGCATGTACGATTCTTGTCATGTTTATAACCACAATAAAAGTGTAATGTTAGCGGACAAAAAGTGTAGAGAAAGTAACTTTCAGCTTTTACGATACTTATAATTAAACAGACACAAGACATGGCATGTTTGATCTGCTGTTCATCCTCCAATCAAGATTTAATACCTGTTTTTTTAACATGGAGAAAGTGAGCAAAACATAGTGAACACAACTTGTCAGTGGCACCCCAGAATGTTTTCACAGGGGTGGCCAGATGAGCCACTGAAAATCTTTGGGTAGCCAAAAAACCAAGTCATTACTGAATTTCAGGAATTTTGAATATGCCGTTTAAGTTTATGGGCTAGTTGAAGACTATGTCAGTATTAGATGTAAGGAACCACATACATTTATACTTTGGTTTCTGATTTTACAGTTAATACTACTAATTATTTGATTTGCTAGTTATCATTTTGATTTCCACAATAATCCTGTTTTAATTTGTTCTGTACCTGCACACGTGTTGGGCGATTCATTGTTACCCAAATAGGCTGGTTGTCCTTTTCTTTAAAAAGACCAGGGGCGTAAATATAGACAGTGCAGGCAGTGCGGTTGCACTGGGGCCCATGGGGTGGAGGGGCCCGACTGCCACCTGGAAATATGCCCGTGTTCAAAGAAGAACTCACATTAAAACAAAAATGGTGCTATTTTCCATACATGGCCTAAATAAGGCAAACCCATCTCCATCATGGTTTTCTGGTTGTCAATCTATAACAAATTATAAACTTATTCTACATAAACTAGTTAAAAATTATAATTTACCAATAAAAAACTATCAAGTTAAACTAATAATTTCCTATTTTCTTTTGTAGATTTGTCATACAGATATGTAATGATGATTGCTGTGTAATGTATGTTAATGTGTCCAATATCAAGTATCTGCAAGTGTCAGACACACTGTTGCTAAAATATACTAGACTTGTTGGTACCCATAGAACCCATTTTCAGTCAGATGTCTTGAGGTGAGAGTTCAAGGGACCCCTGCGAAAATGCTCATGCCAGTTGTTCCCTTGCCAAAATCTAGCTTGAAAGCTAGAATTAGCAGAGCTTAAAGGTCCAGGTGAAAAAAAACCCAACTCAATCATTTAGGATTTTTTGGAGTTGCTGCTGTTGTTCACAAACTAAAGAAATGTGAGACCATTTTTGTTTAGTTTTTACTGAATATTTGAAGGCAAACTGTTAAACTATATCACTTATTTTGTTGCAGTCCTATTTTATTTCATCTTCTAACCGCTTCATCCTCTTGAGGGTCGCGGGGGGGCTGGAGCCTATCCCAGCTGACATCGGGCGAGAGGCAGGGTACACCCTGGACAGGTCGCCAGACTATCGCAGGGTGGATAGGGACTGTGGGAGGAAGCCGGAGTGCCCGGAGAGAACCCACGCTGACACGGGGAGAACATGCAAACTCCGCACAGAAGGGCTCCCACGTCCGGGATCGAACTGGCAATCCTCTTGCTGTGAGGCGAGAGTGCTAACCACCACACCACCGTGCTGTCCCTATTTTATTTAATTATCTAATTTGTTTTAACTAATTAGTCATAATGTCATGAATATCGTTACCGCAAAAATACCCTGAAATATCTGGATATTATTTTTAGGGCTATGTTGGAGCCACAGTAACATTCTTTGTGTTTCATGGTGACTACATGTAAATAGATGCAGTTTTGTTGTTTGTACACGGGGTGGCGCACTAGAGTAGGGAAACGCAGGTGATTTGGATGAGGTGCAGGTGATGAGTTGCAGGTGTGTCACTGGGGAAGCAAACAGTTTTTTGACCGTGTTAAGTGTGGCGTGTTGAAAAGATGAATGAAAACTTCATCTTTGGGACTCTGAAAATGTAAATGTAAATGATTCTGAAAATGTAAAGTGGAAACTTACCTGAGATGAAGACTGGACATGCAATGTTCTACTTGTGTGAAGGTGAGCACTTTGTCAAATCAGTGTCACCAGGTGCCTCAGAGAGTCAGTGGAGAGATGCACGAGAGGTTTGCAGTGCAGTAACTTTTATTACTCTTCACAGCGGTTTGTGCGTGAATTAAAAGTGAATATTGTTGTTTATATTGCCTGTGGTGTTGTGTCTGCTGGTGTTGATGCAGCTGTGGAGGATTTCTGACGGCAGAGGTGGATGATAATTTAGAGTTTAGGTGCGGGATGAATATGTTAATTAGATCCAGTTTCACGCATGCATTCAGCATGTCAGAAATATGTTAACTTCAGCAGATGTGTTTTCTTGTGTTACCTGTTGTTACTGCTGTCAGGTGCTCTGTGTTTGAGCAGGAATACGAAGTGCATGTCGTTAAGTTTGTTAATTATACTGCTGATTACGGCCGCGTTTACTATGTGTGACCGGATATTGTGTGTTGGTTTTTCAAAATAAAAGCATCCCGTCCTTGTCAGTGGGAGAATACAGGGCTATTACTGAATAACAGAAAGTGCTATGTGAGCATTGGCAATAACTTTACACAGTGCTGATAAGCATAAAAAATGACTGCGGTCAAGTGAGCAGTCATTAGCGAAAGTCCAGTCAAGCCAATTAATATAATTATAATTTGCTCATATTAAATATTAATTTAAAAAAAATCTTTCATAGGTTACATAAATCTTTCAATTGATTCTTGTTCTATGTGACCCCCACTATGTCTTCATCAAATGTGATGCAGTTTTTGTATGTATTGTATTTCTAGCAGGCTTTACCTTTACATTTCTTATAGACTATACAGTAAGTTTCCTAATATTAAATATTAACTTTAAAATAATCCTTCATAGGTTATACAAATCTTTCAATAGATTATTGTTCTAGGTGACCCCCACTATGTCTATATCCACTTCAATGTAATTTTACTGCATAGTTAAAGAGAAGTTTAAAGGTAAATTCTGCTCAAATTACCCTATAGTATAATCATTATTTTTTCATATTAAATATTAACTTTAAAAATTATCATAGGTTAACATAAATCTTTCAATTGATTCTTGTATAGGTGACCCCACTATGTACATATCAATTTACATACAATGTTACTGTATAGTTTATTAGAAATTTAAAGGTAAAGTCCGCTCAAATTGTTGTGTTGATGTTATATGTGTTATTAAAGTTATATTACTGGGGCTGTCCTCTTGTAGACAAAAGTAGGTTGTGTCTGGGAAAAAAAGAAAAATCCACAAAACGATGGTGTAAAAGGAGGTGTAAGAACAAATGCGACGGACCACTTAAAAACCCTAAGCCGTAAGAAGACACTGTAAAATATGAAGTTCACATAGGCTGAAAGACGTTGTTATTGTATTTGCTCTCTCAATCTGTACATGTGTCTTTACATAGGCCTGGCATAACTAAAATATATACAGTACAGGCCAAAAGTTTGGACACACCTTCTCATTCAATGCGTTTTCTTTATTTTCATGACTATTTACATTGTAGATTCTCACTGAAGGCATCAAAACTATGAATGAACACATGTGGAGTTATGTACTTAAAAAAAAGTGAAATAACTGAAAACATGTTTTATATTCTAGTTTCTTCAAAATAGCCACCCTTTGCTCTGATTACTGCTTTGCACACTCTTGGCATTCTCTCNGCTGCGGCAGATGACCTGGCCTCCACAGTCACCGGACCTGAACCCAATCGAGATGGTTTGGGGTGAGCTGGACCGCAGAGTGAAGGCAAAGGGGCCAACAAGTGCTAAACACCTCTGGGAACTCCTTCAAGACTGTTGGAAAACCATTTCAGGTGACTACCTCTTGAAGCTCATGGAGAGAATGCCAAGAGTGTGCAAAGCAGTAATCAGAGCAAAGGGTGGCTATTTTGAAGAAACTAGAATATAAAACATGTTTTCAGTTATTTCACCTTTTTTTGTTAAGTACATAACCCCACATGTGTTCATTCATAGTTTTGATGCCTTCAGTGAGAATCTACAATGTAAATAGTCATGAAAATAAAGAAAACGCATTGAATGAGAAGGTGTGTCCAAACTTTTGGCCTGTACTGTATGACAGTTATATTAAAAGTATTCTACAGAAACATTGCTAGAGAACACAACGTGACTTACTTGAGGACAGGGAAGACATGCTAGCATTATAAACTGTCAGTTTTATATGCTCTAAAAAATTGAACATTATTGTCACCGAGAATTAGGTATATAAACAGTGCACAGAAAACTCAAAAGGAAATTGACAAATTTATTTTATTTATATACAATATGTTTCTTGTCAATTAATTTGAGCAGATTTTACCTTTAAATTTCTCAAACTATACAGTAAAATTGCATCAAAGTTCACATAGACATAGTGGGGGTCACCCAGAAACAGGAATCCTATGAAAGATTTATGTAACCTATGATGACTTATTTTTAACAGATATTTAATATTAAGAAATTTTGTATTGTATTGTATTCTCATGAATTATACAGTAAAATTGTATGAAAGTTGATATGGACATAGTGGGGGTCACTCAGAACAAGAATCCATTGTAAGATTTATGTAACCTATGAAAGATTATTTTAAGTTAATATTTTAATATGAGCAAATTATGATTATATTCTAGGGTACTTTTAGCAGGCTTTTCCTCTTTAAATTTCAAAAATTATACAGTAAAATTGTATGAAAATTGACATGGACATAGTGGGGGTCACCTAGAACAAGAATCCATTGTAAGATTTATGTAACCTATGTTTTTGAATTAATATTTGATAAGAGGAAACTTATTTACAGGGTTATTTGAGCAGACGTTACCTTTACATTTCTCAAACTATACAGTAAAATTGCATCAAAATTGAAACACTGAATTTCCCCCTTGGGGATTAATAAAGTAAAAAATAATAATAAAATGTGGATATAGTTGGGGGTCACCTAGAACAAGAATCCATTGAAAGATTTATGTAACCTTTTTGAAGGCTTATTTTTAATTAATATTTAATATGAGGAAACTTTTATGTTGTATTTTGAGCAGATTTTATCTTTTTAAATTTCTCAAACTATGCAGTAAAATTGCATGAAAAGTGATGATCATAGTGGGGGTCACCTAGAACAAGAATCCATTGAAAGATTTATGTAACCTTTTTGAAGGCTTATTTTTAATTAATATTTAATATGAGGAAACTTTTATGTTGTATTTTGAGCAGATTTTATCTTTTTAAATTTCTCAAACTATGCAGTAAAATTGCATGAAAAGTGATGATCATAGTGGGGGTCACCTAGAACAAGAATCCATTAATAAGTTATAAAAAGCCTTTTGTTTAGAGACAGGTAAAGCACATTTTTTGTTGTTGTTTTTGAATTTGGAGCTCCTTTTTTTTATTTAAAAAAAAAAGTACAGTAAAAAAATATATTGTAATTTAAATTCATATAATGTGCAATACAATGCACTGTTTATTTGGTATATCAATGGGAAAACGGGGGTCACTAACCATCCGTACCGTAATACCGCGAATAGATAAGCATCAAATCCGTGTCGCGGCTGGTGAATTTGGTGACAAACACAGGCCCGGTTCCCAGACTGAGCATATCCTCAGTGTCCACTCCAGCTGCGACTGGATTAGTCTTGTATATTCATTTTATCTGATAAGTATATTCATAACATTTTACTACCTGGCCCTAAGCCTGCTGTCATTTTGCAAAAGTGGAAGAGCAAGTTAAGTATCCCTGCACCAAACCCTACAGGACTTGACTGAAGTCCCTCCAGTAGCACATGTTCTCATGTTCTCATGTCTGTTTATTCGTTTAGGCACTTTGGCATATGCGATGTTGAATAACCCTGAGGGGACAGGTGCTGTCACGTGCAAATACAACTCTAGTGCATGTCTCCCTTGCGCTATGCATGCTTGCTATGCATGCTTGCTCTGTGCACACTTTGCCGGGGGAAGGACCACCACGTCCACTACTCTCGCTATGAACCATGGGAAATCCCCCAAGAAAGTTTGCAGATTTGCGGACTCACACAAAAGGCGTCGGGGGAGTCCGGACTTCTTGATCAGACCAAGACAACCTTGATCCCTCGTGCAATCAGCGGGAGCGCGCATTAAAGTTCATGAGCGTGGAGTCTGGGATTTAGCCACATTTGCTGGAGTCGCGCAGACAGCCGCACTTTGCACCTACGTGCTGTGGTTTGTGAGGTTTACTCAAGTCTCCTGCAGCTGCAGGGAGTGTCTCTGGCCCGGCTGGTAGCTCCAGTCCGTCCTCATTGTTTCATCATCTCAGAAAAATCCAGATTTGGCTGCAGCGCGCTGCAAGTTGAACTTTGCTGATACTGGTTTGCCAGGTGGCGTTCAAAGGTTCTCCAGCGTGCAGCGTGCTCACTCACTTTTAACGGTAAAACACCTGCTGCAAGGTGTGCATCAGTGAGTTTGTTTCACCTTTAAATGCCACAGTGATTCCATTTTAAAGTGTTTTTTTCTTTTGGTCATTAACTGTCTTAATATCCTGTATTTTTATTTAGTTTTCAGATGGCTTTTGCATGGCAAAGTGTCCTGTCTGTGCACCAGAGGATAGTGAACAATGGAGGTATGAGGATGATACATTTTCCTACTTTAACATCATATTGTCCTGTAGTTGTACTGTAGAGATTCCCAGTCTAAACAAGCCAATGTGTGTGAGAGTTGGGAGCTGCAGATGTTTTCCAGCTATGTTCACAATCACTGCTTTGTGTCTGGTCACATGATTAGCCACCATACCACTTTTTAAAATGATAATCTTGTTACAGTGGTGGACACAGAGGAGTGGGAGGAACATTGACGCAAACATAGGGCGGACCCTTTCACTGTCAGACTCAAACTGCTTTCCTTTTTTTCTTTTGTGCAAATGTTTTATTTTGACTTACATTCACAAAACTGCACACACACAACAGGTCGTCTGAGCTAAACATAAAGCAGCTCGTAAAATGTGTAATTCCATCCAGAGACGTGTCCTGCAATGTATTTGTTAATAGTCCCTGACACGGTGTTCTTTAATGTTCCAGACAAGAGGACGGACCCATGGCTGCTGGTCTACTCCCCCGTCCCGGTGGCACTCATCTTCCTAGTGTACCTCTGTGTGGTCTGGGCCGGCCCTCGTCTGATGAAACACAGAGAACCCGTTGACCTCAAAGTGGTTCTCATTGTTTACAACTTTGCCATGGTCGGCCTGTCTGCCTATATGTGCTATGAGGTGAGGCTGTGCTGCTTTTTGTTCTGTTTACTCAGATATAGGGGTTTCTGTATTATAATATAAGTGGGTATATTGGTGGTGTATCATTTCATGAAGTAACTGTGTGAATATTTCCAGTTCCTGGTCACATCCTGGCTCTCGAGCTACAGCCTCCTCTGTCAGCCTGTAGATTACAGCACCAACCCGCTAGCATTGAGGGTAAGCAAGTGTCTGTGATGTTTGATCATTGACAAGCTACAAGTTGAATAATTTGCAGTAAAATAACCCTATCACACACCTGACAGTGTATTTTGAAAGATAAAACTCACAGTTAACTAAATTTCTCCATTGTTTCCTCGCTCCAGATGGCCAGAGTCTGCTGGTGGTTCTTCTTCTCTAAGGTCATAGAGCTCAGTGACACCGTACGTATTTATTTAAACATTTGCAGTATCAGTGAAATTCAGAAAGCAGAGTTGAAACTGTAACAGCCTCCTCTGTTTGAGCAGATCTTCTTCATTCTGAGGAAGAAGAACAGCCAGCTGACGTTCCTTCATGTTTACCACCACGGCACCATGATCTTCAACTGGTGGGCGGGAGTCAAGTACGTGGCCGGCGGACAGTGTAAGTCAACTATTTCAGTCGTTTACTGTGAGTGTTAGTGGCATGACCTCATGAAAAATTGATTATGATGTCTAAATCACTCACTATCAGTGCTTGAACTCGTCCTGATCTACATGTTTGAAATACTTACAGCCTAATTCTTATTGGCGCTCTGAGTGTTTTTACATTCCTCTGTTTAAATCCTGCAGCGTTCTTCATCGGCCTGGTCAACACCTTAGTTCACATCGTGATGTATTCTTACTACGGCCTGGCTGCGCTCGGCCCTCACATGCAGAAGTACCTGTGGTGGAAGAGATACCTCACCTCTCTGCAGCTGGTGAGTGGCCTCCGGTCTGTGTGGCAGGAGTTGTAAACACAACATGTTTGTGATATAAGCTGATTTCAGCTTTCCCCCGACTGCCTTTACAGGTGCAGTTTGTGCTGTTCCTCCTGCACACGGGCTACAACCTGTTCACAGAGTGCGACTTCCCCGACTCCATGAACGTGGTCGTGTTTGGTTACTGCGTCACCCTCATCATCCTCTTCAGTAACTTCTATTTTCAGAGCTACCTCAACAAGAAGAAGCAGAAATAAGACACAGTGGTGAGGCTTCACAAACACACTGACATGAGTTGATGTGATATCATAATGATGAAATCTTAGATGTTTTACACTTTGTTCAGGTTTCCCTTCGCTGCGAACCAATATTCTCCCAAGCTGTAGGGGGCAGTGTATTGAAAACTCACGTCTGCAGCATGGTTCTCCATTTTCTGCACCCATCCCCCACCATGTACTTAGGCTGAATCCAAATGTATGAGCGTCACAGCACATGCAGAGTTGTGGACTTTGCAGGTGCATTCATGGGAAGTCTGGGAGTGCTGAGGACAGTTCATACCCACAATCGATCCAGTCCACAAGGAGCCTAAAGTGGACTTTCTGCAGACTTCACTTAACAATTTCCACAGCAACAAATGACACAGACTTGAGGCCTGTCTATCAGCGGCTTGCAGTCTCTGCCCTCCCAAACTTCATGTGGGGACAGTGAACACATCACAGTACATGCAAAGTCTATGAGGGCTCAGCCTGTGAGTCCTGAGGGTGGACATTTGGATTCAGCCTTAGAAAATGCCACATGTGCATTGATGAGCAAAAATCAGCCACATGGGAAGCCAGATTTTTATGCCTCCCTGCCGCCAACAGCCATGGCCAGAGGTGTAAAGATGGTACCGTACTATGACGCCTCGCTACATGCTGTTTGTGTAGGCAGAGAGTGTCACAGAGCACAAGCATTTCATTGTAATTTTTATGTATTTTATGATTTTCACACACTGTGAATTTCCCTGGTGTGGGATTAACATAGTTTTATCTCATGACAATAAACTTGAACTTGACTTTGAACTTAATTTCTGTAAGAAATGCAAATGGATTCATATTGTACATTATACCCAGAGGCAATGCCCTACAGATTACACAGGTTAAAGCACGAGAAACATTTTTGACTGATGAATTTGATTGAAGCAAACAACCAAATTTTAAAAAAAAAAATAAAACAAATTTGATTTCAAGAAAATTAATAGTAATGGTAAACTGATAGGCCTTTAGCTTTGATTTGAAAGTGGGCAGCGTTGTCTCAAATCTGAGCTCAGCTAGCAATTTGTTCCACATTTGAGCATCAGAAGCTGTACATGAAATAATAGCATTTGCTGGTTTCTATGCATGCAGTGTTAATGAGTTCACACCATCCCTTAGAGAGAAATTAAAAAAACATGTAACAACAACGAAACACCGAAATGCAGATTGAAATATGTAGATTAGAGAAGAAAACAAGAAGAGGAGGGAGAGGACGTTTAATTTCTGTTCAGGAGTTTTGAAATATTCAAAGTTTATATATTAACGCTGAAAAAAACTGCATGTGAACATGACGTGTAGCTAAGATTGGCACAAAAAGGGGTGCACAAAAAGCATATTTTTGAACTAATGGTGTGTAGAGACACTTGCTGTAGTTTCCATCTGTCACATTTCAGGATTTTATTGATTTTGTTTTCAACTTTCCCCTGATGTCATGTTGCAATTTGAAGCTGTGAGCGAGTGTCCACATCTGCTCACGTGTGCTCTGAATGAATCAGATGGATATGTTTAACTCTCCTGCAGATTGTGGAGCTTTATGAAACTGAACAGCCAGAAAGAGCACACCTCTAAGGTAAGAAGTGATACGGTATATTTATGTATTTAAATTTACCTTATTAGGTTCTACTTTTACCATTTGTCTCTGCTTGTCTTACATAGGATGGAGAAGGCAGAAGCACACTGCAGAAAGTTCTCCCTCAGCTCCTTCTTCAACACCGATGAAAAGGAATCTTGATGGTACTGTGTGTGAAAATCCTACAAGGTGCCCTCTCATGCACATGTGCCTTACTGTCAAAGCATCACAATGTGTTCCTATGTTAAATGATTATTATGGTCCATTCACACAAAATAAAAATACCATCAGTTTATTTTAACAAGATCAGTTTTTAAAATGGTATAAAAAGTATTTTGCTCTTACGATGTTCCTGCAGGAACTTTCAGTGAATAAACAGTGTAGTTTGATTTGTACTGACCTCATTGTAGATAATATTTGTATCACTATATTGTGACTAGTCGACTTGTTTTTGATGCAGTATGTAATATAATTGTCATGCTCATTTCCACAATAAAAAAATAATGCAAGTTGAGAAAGTGTAGAGGATGTAACTTTGGGTAATGAAGCCCAGACACAAGACAAAGTTCGATGCCAGCTAATTAAGATTTATATCTATATCATGGAGAAAGTGAACATAAACATCTATTTTTTATTATAATAATAATATACTTTCCATGTTACCATGACTTATTTATGACGTTCCCAGTCATACTCGTAACTGTCACAAGTTAAGTCCTGCATTCAAGTACAAAAATATCAGCATTGAAATGTTCTCGAAATGCCACAATGGCCCATATCTGAATAATATACACTGATCAGCCACGACATTAAACCCGCTGACAGGTGAAGTAAATAACATTCATCATCTCATGACAGTGCAATGTCCTGCTGGGAAACCACTGGCATTCATGTGGATCCCCCCCCCCCCCCAAAGCAGGACAGTGCACCATACCACACAGCAAATAATGCTGAGGAATGTGGCAAAGAGCTCAAGGCATCAACCTGACATTCATATTACCCAGAACCCTAACCAATCGAGCATTCATGGGATGATCCTGCTACCCTACCTCACAACCCACAGCATTCAGAATCAGCTTTATTGGCCAAGTTCGTGTGTACATACAAGGAATTTGCCTTCGGTAAAGCCAAATTTCTTGTATGTACACACGTACTTGGCTATTAAAGCTGATTCAAATGATTGGCCACCAACATCCTGCTGTCAGACACCACATGACAGCCGCAGAAGTTCCCTGTCTCGATCGGTCAGAGCCAAATCAAATCCAAGGAGGCCTCACCATGCATCTGACTAGACTCTGGGGTATAGGAATGTCCCACAGACGCTCACTCAGATTTGGATCTGGGGAAGTTGGAGGCCAGGTTGATGCCATAAGTGTTTTTGTAAGGTTCCTCGGGTTATTCCTGAGCAGTTTTTACAGTGTGGCATGGTACATAGACCCGCTGATTAGAACACTGTCATCGGGGAGTGCCGTTGCCATGACAGAGTGTATGAGAGGGTGGGTGGTGCATATCAACTGGCATCTACATGAATGCCAGGACCAAAAGTTTCCCAGCAGAACACTGCATTGTAACAGGATGATCAATGACGTTCACTTCACCTGTCATTAGTTTAATGCTGTGGCTGATCGGTGTATATTACCTGACTGGATTGTCATTATTGATGCATCAGTGTGTACGTCACTGAAATGTTGCAGCTGTAAAGGCAGGTATAATATTAATTTAATGCTGTATAATCTATAATAAGATATCATAGTATAGTAGTTTACTGATGTTTTGTATCAACAATCTCTCTATCTATCTCTATCTATATATCCCTTGATGAATGTGAGTGTTTAATTACATGGAACAATACATGATGTGAGCACCAAATGAAAAGTAAGGCAAGGGAACGCCCCCTGCTGTGCCAACCACAACCAAAGCATCGTGTAAAACAAGTCAAGCAGGAAGTGATTATGAATCTTCTCAGTACTTGTCACCTAAGTTTATCTGTGACAAGGTGTTTATCAGTGAGCAGATATTTATCTTTAAATGCTAGAGATTTTAGTGTTTTTTTCTCCTCTTTTTGTTAACTCTCTTTATATCTTGTATTTTTATTTAGTTTCCAGATGGCTTCTGCATGGCAAAGTGTTCTGTCTGTGCACCAGAGGATAGTGGACAATGGAGGTATGATTATTTTTTACCTTGCCACTTTTTAAAACTTGTATCTCGTTACAGCAGTGGACATACAGGAGTTGGAGGAACAGAGGCTCAAACATAGTGAGGACCCTTTCATTTTCAGGCAGAAACTGACTTATTTTTCTCCAGTGCCAATTTATTTATTTGTGAATTTAATATTTAATATGACATTCACAAAACTGCACTCCCAACAGGTTATCTGAGCTGAACTGGAACAAGACGAACTGTAAAAGCCTGATATTTCCCGTAAAACAACAATTCGTGCTGAATGTTTATGCAGATCAAGGGGAAATGTGTCCTTTAATATATTTAGAAATTTGTAAATGTATTCATTTGTAAATAGTCCCTGACACAGAGCTCTGCTGTGTTCCAGACAAGAGGACGGACCCATGGCTGCTGGTCTACTCCCCTGTCCCGGTGGCACTCATCTTCCTGGTGTACCTCTGCGTGGTCTGGGCCGGCCCTTGTCTGATGAAACACAGAGAACCCGTTGACCTCAAAGTGGTTCTCATTGTTTACAACTTTGCCATGGTCGGCCTGTCTGCCTACATGTGCTATGAGGTGAGGCTGTGCTGCATTCTGTTCTGTTAAGTGGTTATACTGGTGGTGTATCTTTTCATGAAGTAACTGTGTGAATATTTCCAGTTCCTGGTCACATCCTGGCTCTCGAGCTACAGCCTCCTCTGTCAGCCTGTAGATTACAGCACCAACCCGCTGCCACTGAGGGTAAGCAAGTGTCTTGTGCAGAAAATTTGGTCTTTGACAAGCTACAAGTTGAATAATTCGCAGTAAAATAATCCCAACAGACACCTGACCGTATATTTTGAAAGATAAAACACAGTTACCTGAATGAATAATCTGTAAAACTCCATTGTTTCCTCGCTCCAGATGGCCAGAGTCTGCTGGTGGTTCTTCTTCTCTAAGGTCATAGAGCTCAGTGACACCGTACGTATTTGTTAAAACGTTTGCGGTATCAGTGAAATTCATAATTCAGAGTTGAAACTCTAACAGCCTCCTCTGTTTGAGCAGATCTTTTTCATCCTGAGGAAGAAGAACAGCCAGCTGACGTTCCTTCATGTTTACCATCACTGCACCATGATCTTCAACTGGTGGGCGGGAATCAAATATGTGCCTGGCGGACAGTGTAAGTCAAGTGCTCTCTGTTAGTATACATTCACAGCAGCAGTCCAGGATGGCAGGATGGGGAATGTGGGTCTGATTCAAAATAAACTACAGTGCCCATGTAGGAACATGTCACATTTATAATTATATATGCATTGTAGTTTATTTTGAACCAGTCCCACATTCCCCATCCTGCCATCCTGGACTGCTGCTGTGAATGTGTATTAATCCACAGCTGAAAATAGTCCCCGACAAACACACCATTTACTCCTATAGTATACTCACATAGTAAGGATAGACTGATACATCGGCCGGCCGATATATCGGGCCGATATTTGAGTTTTTTACGATGCCGATACGTGCGTGGGTTCGCGGATTTATTTTTCCCTGGCATGATTTACAGACAGGCATCCACGGGCAGCTCTGTGTTGCCGGAAGACCCTGCAGCGCACATGCAGCGAATCCTACTGTGTACAGTAGTTGTTGTTTTATTTATGCTTCAGCTTAAATATTTGTTTATTTTATAAAGACATTACTGGAAGATTTAAGAGCACTGAACTCTTTTTTTTATTTGAATGTATAATAATAATAATAATATTCTACCTGTTCTACCTCAACTTTCCATCTTGTTTTAGTATTTTTTACTGTTCAATAAATGTTTCTTATTTTAAACTTGAGAACTGTAATATTTGTAATCATTGTCATTTTTTTATGTAAATTGAGGGAGCAAAAGCAGTATCGGCCCCAAATATCAGCTCAAGAAAATCGGTCATCAGCTAAGGGTGACGGAAAAAAATCGGTATCGGCATCGGCCCTAAAAAATCCATATCGGTCTATCCCTATCAGATAGATACATACTGTCTTCATGCCCATAAGGAAATTCTTGCATCCAGTAGCTCACATGAAGTCACATAAAAACCACAACAACATGTGACTATTTATTAATTAATTGGCTTGAATCCAGGTAGCGCTACGAGGACGTGCTGCCACTCAGTACAGCACATGTTTAACATTTGCTACAAACTACAGAGCCCTGCTGTGTTCATGTATTAGAATCAGAATCAACTTTAATAGCCAATTATTTTGCCTTATTCAGTTTAATAATGCCGCTGCACCAGTGACAGCTGTGATAGCAGACATTCAGCTTTGTCCCCAGGAGCTTCAGACGGAGTGAGTGGGTGTTTATTGTGTAGTGGTATGATGGTGTTTAAATAAAAATAATGCAAAAGCACATGTGCTAATTGAAAAAATGGGGGGAAAACCCTCGAACAAAAGATAGTGCTGCAACAACAGCTGACTCTGACATGTGTTGGTTGTAAAACATGACAATAAGAACACAACAAAGTCAACAATGAGAAAACAAAGTAATTTCTTTATTATTCCCTGAGGTGATTAATTCTTCTTCTCCATCTTCTTTGTAGTCAAATGCTTTCTAGTCCATTAACTGGTTATTGTTTCATAAATGCAAATAACAATAGCCTAATTACTGTGTGTGAAATGCTCTAAACGAAACTGTAATACTAACAAAATGTTACTACGTCAGCCCATCCTGTGTCATCGGTGTCTGCTGCCTCACAAGCTGAAACTTGTAACAGCTGTTACTCAATTTACTCACAGTCAGGACATGATCTCTCCAGCTTAAATAGATGAATGAACCACCCCATTTCTGTCTGAGTGCTTTTACATTCCTCTGTTTAAACCCTGCAGCGTTCTTCATCGGCCTGGTCAACACCTTTGTTCACACAGTGATGTATTCTTACTACGGCCTGGCTGCGGTGGGCCCTCACATGCAGAAGTACCTGTGGTGGAAGAGATACCTCACCTCTCTGCAGCTGGTGAGTGGCCTCCTGCTCTGTGTGGCAACACTTGTGAATAAATAAAATACAAAATGTTTGAAGTGAGCTGCCTCTCCAGGTGCAGTTCCTGCTGGTCCTCCTGCACTCAGGCTACAACCTGTTCACAGAGTGCGACTATCCCGACTCCCTGAACCTGTTGGTGTTTGGTTACTGCATCACCCTCGTCGTCCTCTTCAGTAACTTCTACTGTCAGAGCTACCTCAACAAGAAGAAGCAGAAATAAGACACAGTGGTGAGGTGCGACACACAAACACGCAGGACGTAGAAGGTGTTATCCCTGTGTGCAGTACTCACTAGTGTCCACTAGAGGGAACAATGTGCCAACAGTGTGAACAGTTGTCTCATGGTGCTCATTATCAAGAGTCAGAGTCTTTATTCACTGTCTATTAAATATCTACCAGTCTATGTGCTGGACTTGATTTGATCTTTGAACAGATAGTTACGCTTTGCTGTCAAACTTGAACATTAAATATTTTATGACACTAACTCGGTGACAAACTGGCTGGGGCCTTCGTTGCTGCGTGTGAGTGTTGGAGATATTGGAGAGACAATGATTTTCTTTCTACTGAACTAGATAGATAGATAGAAAGAACTCTGTATTTTCAGGCTGACTGGTGATACACAATATATATCTCGGTATTTTCTACGAAATGGGCTACATGTTGCAAGTCCAAGACACATTTGAGACGTCACAAGCACTTTTATAAAAACAGACTGATCAAAATAAAATGCAAAGGCAGGGATTTTATTCCCTGTTTGAAAGTAAACAGCTGCACAACAAGTAAAGGAAACATGATATAAAATAAATAGCAGGGCTGTACATTAATGTTTTTGCACACAGCAGTGGAGCTACAGAGGTTTAAAGGTTTGCAGCACAGGACACTAAACTGTAACATGACTATAAAAGTATCAAGTAGGCCTAAGTCCAATGTGGTTTGACACAATTAAAAATATTTGTGGGAGGAGTTAAAAAGTTTTCCATGGCCTTTCAAATGAATCTAGTGCTGGAAAATGATTTGAATATTTTTTATTGCGCAGAGCCTCAAAAGAGAGGTTGAGGACGGGAGGGAGCGAGAGACACTTTGTCTGTGTTACATACGCCTTTTTATATGAAACATCTGAGTTTTTGCTGCATTTTTTTAAACACATCTGTTGCTTGCATCCAGCCGCTGTCTCAGTGTCACACATTAAACTACGACTACCAAGAAGAACAGTGATGCGCTAGGTCTATCTCACACACAAACTAGCAAACAAACGCTCATCTGACACAATCAAACAGCTCTGTCCCCCACACATGCAGCACAGCGCTGTATCGCACATGTGTTGAGGTAATTTCATTCAGATCACAGACTGATTCAGCGTAGCACGTGCACATATAGACCGTCATCGTACTGTAGACTAATTAACAGACAGATTAGTCAGAAGAGCAGCTCTGTGTCTCTTGGTGTTGGTGGAGAACTCGTGAGTGAGGCTGAGCTGTGCAGAGAGCGTGAGAGGAGAGATGCACACTGGCATGTGTTATGTAACACAACTTGACTTTATATTGATATAAACTGAATTGTCTAAATCTATATCTTGCTTGAAAAATATATTGTTATATCACCCAACCCTAGTCAACAGTACCTGCAGCACCAGGAGTGGACAGAAAGCATGTTATTGTGCTTCTGCTGTGTACAGAAACGTGCTGTTTCCATGTGCCACATTACAGACTGTCTGTGATTTTACCCCTGATATAACGCTGCAATTTGAAGCTGCACTTTAAAAACTTTTTAAGAAGTGTTTTGGTTCCTGTGATTATTAAATTGAGCTGTAACAGATTTAACGTCAATCATTTCTCTCTCCTTGTCTCTCTTAGGATGGGAAAGGCAGACGCACACCGACCCAGTGAATGAGAAGCAACCACAAACCTCAAAAAACCCCAAACTGAGTGCAGCTCACAGCAGCAGCAGTCATCTCTCCCTCAGCTCCTACAACTCAGTTAAACAAGAATCTTGATGGTACTGTTTGTATGAAAGTCCCACATTGTTCTGCCTCCTCGTGCACATGATGCTCCTTATTGTCAAAGAATTACAGTATGTTACCATGTGAAGGTTTTATGGGTTTGTTGAAGGTGGCGGTGCTGTTTGGGCTGAGAAAGCCATGTGTAAGTAAGGTAAAGGAGATTGTTGGGTCGGTGCGGGGAGGGGAGCAGTGAGAGCTGGCATTAGGGGAGTGTGTCTGGGATACCAGAGATCACTGTCTAGCCTCCTGGAGGTGTCGTGGGAGCAACTAGACGAAACACTGGTGAAAGGAGGTTCCCACCCGATGACCCCAAAGACATGTTAGTTATCACTGTTCATTGGTCTGTATAGTTAAGCCTCGCCATGATAGCTTATCATAGGGCTTAGGAGGTTATTCACTGAGTGCTGATCCTTTTCTAGAGCACAAACTTATTGTGTTTAATTGAACTTATTATGGTCCCATCACATTAAATAGAAAATATCATCAAATTATTTTAACAGGTTCAGTTTTACAACAGAATAAGATTAAGAAAAAGTATATGATGTTTCTGTAGGAACTCTCAGTGAATCACCAGTGTAGTTTGATTTATAATGACCTCAGTGTAGATAATGTTTCCATCATTTACACTCAGTATGTAATATAACTGTCATGTTATTTCCACAATAAAATTCATGCAAGACACACACAAGACAAAGTTTGATACCAGCTAATCAAGATTTATCATCTATATTTATATCATGGAGAAAGTGATCCAAAACATCTATTTTTTATAATAATATACTGTCAATGCTATTATTATTTTATTTTTTTTATATAAAAGTTTATTTTGTAATAACTTGGTGTGTCGAAGGAGCCAATGATGCAAGTATTCAGAAAATAAAAGCTCTGAATACTAAATACCACTGGCTGTACGACATGCTGAGTCATACTTGTTACTGCCACAAGTAAAAGCCCTGCATTCAAAAATCATACTGAAGTGAAAATGCAAAAATATCAGTGTTAAAATATACTTAAAGTATTTATGCAGAATATTGTATCAAACTTTATTTATATAGCACTTTTAATACAAACAATGCAACACAAAGTGCTTTACACAATAAAAAGACAATGAATAAAATAAATGAAACAATTTTAGATCCATCAATGAATAAGTAAATAAATAAATTAAAATAAATAAATACGTAACAAAATGGAAGAATATGCCAGCAAAAAAACAGATTAATACAAATTAATAAATAAATAAATACACAATAAAATAAAAAAGATGAATAAAAATAGGAGTTTGCTTTAAAAACCTCAACACTCTGCAGCCCTGTAATATTGTATGTGACTTTATTGGATAATAATTATTGATGCATCAGTGGGTACATTCCTTTAAGGTTGTAGTTGGTAAAGGCAGGTCTAATTTAATTTACTTTATATAGTGCTTTGTAGTTTAATCTAGAATAACACATCATAATTAAGTACGTTGCATTTTTTGAAAAATAATATTTTGTGTTTATTAATATAATTCTGTATCTCTAAATAATTAAATTATCTTTCTATGCCCCATGATGGACAAGAGAGCATTTACTTGTGTGTGTAATTAAAAAGCAGCAAATGAAATTTAAAATAATAATGATAGTCACATTATGGTGGGAAACAGCGCCCTCTGCTGTGGTGATCGTGTATCGACCAAATGATCCGGTCAAAAAAGAAAAAAAAGAAAAAAAGATAGTGAAGAGAAACAGGAAATGATTCAAATCTTCTCAGCGCTCTTTCGTGATCACTGAAGTTCATTTTGTTTCCAGGTTTCAAGATGGCTTCTGCATGGCAAAGTGTCCTGTCTGTGCACCAGAGGATAGTGGACAATGGAGGTATGAGGATGAATATTTTTCCTGCATGTAGAGTTAAGTCTCAACAATCCACAGTGTGTGTGTGTGGGAGTTAGTAGCTGCAGATGTGCTCTCTAGATTGTCTTCGCATGACTGTCACATGATTAGCCACCATGCTACATGTGTAGGTGATTATACTGTAACAGTGGGGGGGGGGCAGAGGAGTGGGAGGAACAGCGACACTAACATACAGAGGACACTTTGATTGTCAAGTTTACAAAGTTCAAGTTTATATCTGCATTTGAATGAGGATTTGGTTTGCATGAACAAAGCTGCACACACAACAGGTCATCTGAGCTGAACTGGAACAAGACAAACTGTAAAAACCTGGCATTTCCTGTGCAGACTAAAACAAAATTCCATGTAGAGAGTTTGGGCAAGTCAAGGCAGCTATTTAAACGTGTAATTCCAGCCAGAGATGTGTCCTGTAATGTATTTATTCATTTGTAAATAGTCCCTGACACAGAACTCTATGTTCCAGACAAGAGGACGGACCCATGGCTGCTGGTCTACTCCCCTGTCCCGGTGGCACTCATCTTCCTGGTGTACCTCTGTGTGGTCTGGGCCGGCCCTCGTCTGATGAAACACAGAGAACCCGTTGACCTCAAAGTGGTTCTCATTGTTTACAACTTTGCCATGGTCGGCCTGTCTGGCTACATGTTCTGTGAGGTGAGGCTGTGCTGTGATTTGCTCTGTTTCAACAAGTAAAAAATTAACCATGAGCACAGTGATGATGGAAACACTCACGTTTGCAGCTTTCATCTGCTGCTTCCTCTTAGGAACTTCTGTTTTTTGATAGAAACGGTTATGTTGCTGGTGTTTCATGAAGTAACTGTGTGAATATTTCCAGTTCCTGGTCACATCCTGGCTCTCGAGCTACAGCCTCCTCTGTCAGCCTGTAGATTACAGCAACAGCCCGTTGGCACTGAGGGTAAGCAAGTGTCCTGTGCAGAAGTTTCACAAGCTACAAGTTGAATATAATTCACATTATAATAATCCTACAGAGTAAAACCCACATTTCTCCATTGTTTTAATCCTCCAGATGGCCAGAGCCTGCTGGTGGTTCTTCTTCTCTAAGGTCATAGAGCTCAGTGACACCGTACGTATTTATTTAAACATTTCCTGTATTGGTAAAATTCAGAATGCAGAGTTAAAACTAACAGCCTTCTCTGTATGAGCAGATCTTCTTCATCCTGAGGAAGAAGGACAGCCAGCTGACGGTCCTCCACATTTTCCACCACGGCCCCCTGATGTTCAACTGGTGGGCAGGAATCAAGTATGTGCCCGGCGGACAGTGTAAGTCAACCTTTTTAGTCATTTGCTATAAGTGGTATGATGATATATAAAAAACGGCGTGTACACGTTGTGGATGGAGATTGTTGCTTTAAGGAAACACTTTACATTAAAGCTGGGGTAGACAGTTTAATTTTGGCGTCACTGAGCAAATATCCCATGATAAACTTCGTGCATATTGTAAAATTAGCAGGTAGTAAGGCCCTTATGAGGTGTTTATTAACAAAAGTATGTGTTAATAAGACTATATTAGTGTTTTTACCAGACATTAACACGTCAAACTTGTTGATAATGTATAAACTTTATAATTTATACTGCTTAAGATCATTAATAGAAGCTCAGGATGCATGGTATTGGATTTACCGATATACTCATTTGGCTGATAACCGATACCGCTATCGATATATCTACTTTTTTCCCCACCTAATTTTAGTGGTTATCAAGTCTCTTCTGTCGTGGAATTAATCTCATAATATACATGCACGTTCTTGACATGACAGCCCACCAGCAGATGGCGATATGAAATACAATGCTTTCTGATGTACGTAATATTCATTCATTGTGCAAAATAAGAAAAAACATGTTGACAGATTCTAATGGTTCATTTTAAATCCAACATCGGCGCATACTATCATGCATCCTTTATAAAAGCCCTGTTAGGTCTCTTATCATTGTTTATAACAGCATTACAAACTCATTTTTCAAGTCTTACTACCTTACCCATTGTGTCATTGTTAAACCTTTACTCAGCTTTATATTATTTTGTTTATTGACAGTAATGCATAACTTTATTGCGCATTTATTAGCAAGCAACTCTGCTTTTTGCAGCTACATGGTTCAGGTTAACAAATCCTTTATTATACACTTATCAACAGTTAACTTAGCTATGTGTATAAATTAACAAGCCCCTTATAAGTGCTTATAATCAAACAGTAAACATGTTTATGATGCCATTATTAACACTAATATTTTCCTAGTAACACATGATGTTAATGAGCATTTTATAAGGAACTTATTTCCTTTTAACTACCTTATAACAAGGACCTTAATATAAAGCCTTACTGGGATATGTCTGGAGATTATGAAGGTGCATTTTCAACAAATCCCATGAACAGACCAAACCCAACATTAAATTGTTCCAGGAACAAGTATCGTCTGTGAAGCCAAAGTCCATTTTATTTTTATTCCAGAAAATAAAACGGACCATTCCATTCCATTAAATAGTCTTTGGACTAAGTGCCACAGACGGGTTCAGGGAGATCGAGGAACACATTGTTGTTAGAATTTGTGCTTATTTTCATTCCTAAGATATCTGACATTTAGTTTTGTTCCCTGGACCTTAACACGCAGTGGGTGAGAGGTGTGTTTGTGTGGTGATGTTTACATTGACAAATAATCCAAAAGCACACTAAAAAGAGACTGATTCAACAAATGATCAGAAAACATTTCATTCAGAGAACAAAGTTATTTCTTTGCCACTCCTTAAGCTCATTAATTCTTACTGTCCATTGTCTTTGTGGTCAATTAATGCAAAAATAGCTTAATTTAAATTTCATTTTATGTTACTGAAAGGCTCTGAAACTAAACTGTGATACTTACAGTTTTGGTATCCTCAAGGCATCTTATTGCATCATTCCACTTTGTCTGCTGCCTCACAAGCTGAAACTTGTACCTGTTCAAACTTAATTCACCCACTGTCAGTACTTGTATTCTCCTTTATCCTCTCTCCTTTTATCAAAGGTTTGAAACATTTTTACTGGCTTACATCAATTCACAAGTGTTTCTGCATGTCTGTTTGAATCATGCAGCGTTCTTCATCGGCCTGATCAACTCCTTTATTCACACTGTTATGTATTCTTACTACGGCCTGGCTGCGCTGGGCCCTCACATGCAGAAGTACCTGTGGTGGAAGAGATACCTCACCTCTCTGCAGCTGGTGAGTGGCCTCCTGCTCTGTGTAAGAAAAATCTTCTGCTGGAAGGTCCTGGCATTCATGTGACATGCAACACTCACTGAAACACTGTTGCAGACCAAGTGTCCCTCCCTCATGGCCACGGCAACTCCAGCAAGTCGGTGCTTCATGCCACACTGCAAATATATAGTGTCTGGCACCAGGGAGTTGGTAGCAGATCCTTTCTGTCCTGTGGGTTGCCAGGTAAGGTACTACCATGTCCCACCAGTGCTTGCTCGGATTAGGATCTGGCGAATTTTGGAGGGCAGGTCGATGCCTTGAGTTCTTCGTCAAGAGTCTCGGGGCCATTCCTGAGCAGTTTTGGCACTGCCATCAGGGGTGTACTGTTGTCATGAGGGGGTGGCGCATGTCAAGTGGAATTCACATGAATGCCGGAACCCGTTTCCCAGCAGAACATTGCATTGCACCAAGATGGTCAATGTTATTCAATTCACCTCACCTATTTAAATCTTGTGGCTGGTCGGTGTATAACATAAATTTGTGAAGTACGCTAATCTGAGCGTTTCTTTCTGCCTCTCCAGGTGCAGCTTATCCTCTTCCTCCTGCACTCAGGCTACAACCTTTTCGCAGACTGCGACTTCCCTGACTCCATGAACCTGTTGGTATTTACCTACTGCATCACCCTCTTTGTCCTCTTCGGTAACTTCTACTATCAGAGCTACCTCAGGAAGAAGAAGCAGAAATAGCTGCAGCGGTGAGGCGGTGAGGCGCTACACACAATCACACTGAGGCTTTGAGGCTTTTTTTCTGCTGTGTGCAGTACTCACTAGTGTCCACTAGAGGGAACAACATGCCCATAGTATGAATGTTTTTCTTATAGTGCTCATAATCAGTGTCAGACTGAAACACTTAATTTTACAGGCCTGTATAAGTAATGTGAACAATTTAAGTTCTCTCTGCATTTTTTTAAGTACCATATATTAAGTTCAGACACATTGCAAAAAAAGAGACATGATCATTCAATTATTTATTTTTTAAATTGAGAAATGACAAACATTCAAATGATTGCTGTAAACAAACTGTACATTTTTTACATATAATAATAACGTAGGTTTGTTTTTCTGCATTATTGCAGAATTAATAAGTCCAAACCCTCCTTCCGAGATAAATCCAAAAAGAAAAAACACTTAACATAATATGGAAATGCAAACATTATATTCCCCACTGCTAAAACAACACGGCAAATTGATATATTCTTTTCTACACTTCAGTCTAAAACAGACTGAAAGATGTGGATTAGAGAGAAAACACATGTCGAGGAGGGAGGGAGCAGACATTTCCATTCAGGACTGTTGGGTTTGAAATGTATATGTTAAAGGGATAGTTTGGATCTTTTAGAAGTGGGGTTGTATTTTCTTGTTTGGAAAAGCAGGCAAAGGTATTGCCAAGGAAGCCAAGTGACGCACTGCTGTGGAGGGAGGCGGGGCAGCAGCATTTTTTCCAGGGTTATGCCACATGTAGAAGATTGTCATTGTGGACTGGGGCTGCCCACTAGCTCACCTGGTAGAGCAGGTGCCCCTGGTGCAGAACTGACACAACAGCCATGGGTCTTTACAGACAGCCCTCTCTTAGGGGGAACCAAAACTTTTATCTTTGCCTTCTTTAAAGCTACCAGACTTTTTTTACCTAGCAAAACACCAGAGGTGCTCATCTACCTTTGCCTCAATGTGTTAGTTTGTTTGTTAGTGTGAGACTTCTGTGAGGCTGAACTAGCCATTAAAATGCCAAAGTCATACAACAACACAAACAAACTAAGCGATCGAGGCAGTGGCAGACCAGCAGCTCCTGTGCTTTGTCAGGTAAAATCACTGTTTTTGTCAAAGGAGTCTGGTAGCTGTAAAGACAGCAAAAATAACATGTTCAGTTCCCCGCCAGAAAGGGCTGTCTGGCTGCAAAGGTGAATTAAAGAAAATATTTTAAATCTAGCATACACCTAAACTGGCAGTGATATTTTTAGGTGGATAAAATGTGTTTAGCTGCTGGCCTCGTGCAAAGCAGTACAGTGCTGCTCCCCCCCACTTAAAAAAAATCCAAACTATCCCTTTACACTGAACAAATGTAACGTGTACATGATGAGTTTACGACCAATAACTGTAATTCTGAGTCTAAGAAATAAAGCTTGTGGATCTTTGAACGGCCAAAACGCACATCTTTTTTAAAAAATATTTTTGCTTTGTCATTTACTGTACTTTTTTGACATGTCATTCCTGCTTTTCAAATGAGTAAAAATTTTCAAGAGCAAGCACCGGATCTTTGTCTTTTGTTCATGAATTACTGGATAACTTTACATAAGATACAGCAATTACTGTTTGGTTAAACTGGTCACAACTGGAAACCATAAGCAACTGATGACCAGACATCTGTTTTAAAGGGTCAAAAGCCTTAAAGGTTAAGAACCGCTGTTCTTACATACTTTGATGTTTGCATTTCAGCCGTTCAGATACTGTAGTATCAGGAAGAAGAGAAAAGAGGATCCAAGTATGAGAAGATGGGTGTGGTGAAGCGTGCCCTGCTCCAGTGTTGCTCTATGTCTCCGTGTAGACAGAGGACATGTGGCTCATGCTGCGGTCAAAGTTGCCCACCTGGAAGAAGATGCTCTCCTCAGGGCTGGAGGAGAACTGGCACCCTGCACCGCCCTGAAGCTCCTGGGTCAGGTTGAAACCTGAAACAGAAACAATGTGGAGCAGTTTGTTAAACATTTGGATGAAACCATTCAGGTGATTTATTATGGTACGGTTTGGGTTAGGGATGCACCAATTGGCCGATAGAGTCACCGTGTTGATTGCCATCTGCCTAAGATGACATTCACTGATGGCAGTGGCCGCTGTTTTTCTGTTGTATTACATTAATTTTAGGCAGGCTAAAAAGCAGGGCTCAAGACTAATGGCGTCTTATTGTCCCAGGTACAACTCCAGGGTTCAAAGGACACAGTATCTCAATGGTGATGCACCCAACTGTTTTCCTGATAATGCTGCATTGTAAACAACAAATCCATGTCGAAATTGGTAGAAAGAAAGCTAGTTAATGTTAGCTGTTAGCAGCCGGTGGCCAGAGCTAACAGCTAATGGAGGTTGCAGTGAGTTACATCATGATACATTCGAGTTCTACTAAGTAAAAATGAGTACTTGTTGAAGATAAATTATACCATTATCATGATATGTTATCTCATAAATGTAATTTTTGGCAAGAAACTTAAATAAATCAGTCGTTTGAAGGAGAACTTTGTTGATGTTTTCACAACAATATAAAATAGATTTTAGAAAGATAACTGACCAATCCTAAGTCCCACCCCCCTTAGTTACTGTTGCTAAGATGGACAAGCTTGACAAAAAATAAATAAGGTGTCGCCAGGTGTAGCAGTATTTATTAGATTAGATTAGTTTTTGGGCGGCAGGCAATATAGCTTCTAGAAGGCAAACGCAGGGACTACAGCATGAGATGGAAGGATATATTCACAATGTTAACTTTTATGAACAAGGCACGACAACGCAAATTGAGGCTTCTTGTCTCAATAAAAAAGGGAGAAGTTGAGGCAAAGGACTATCTGTCAAAATTGCTCCTGCATGGCTGGGTACATGTCCCCTTTTCCCTTTCTGGGGATCAGTTACTCTGTGTATTTATTACTCAATATAGACCACACTGCTGACCTTAGGAAGATAATATAAACATAAGGACATTAGCCTAAAAGTTTTCTGGCTAACAATAATTCATATCATCCAACCGCTGTCTTTTTTTCCAGATCACTCTAACATTACCGCAGAATTACGGAGGAAGCAAACCTTGGCTGACGTTGTTGATCAGTCATTACATTAACTCCTTTTCTTCGTAGCTATACGTTAGGTAGCAAACACAGTGAGCTAACATTAGCTTACTTAAGATGTGACTATATACAATTTAAAATGTCTGTGAGATTGTGACAGTCCCCCAACCACATCTGGTTCTTTGTCACATAGACAAGCCAAGCATTTAGCATAAGAAGAAAAGGGAAAGCTGACCAAGGTTCTGCCGTGTTTCAAGCTTGTTCAACTGTTATTGGAGCACAAAGTGGAAAGGGGTGGGACTTAGGAAGGGATAATCATGATTTAATATCTACAGTAAAAAAAGGTTTTGAAGCAGTTTAAAAAAAAAAAAATGTTTTTCATGTGTAAGGATATTCATTCAAATAAACACAAGAAGTTTGTGCTCTAGAGAAAGGATTGAATTTGAAGGGTTGAATGACTTAAAAACAATTCCGTTATTTTGTTTTAATGAAGATTTCTTTGTTTCCCTGGCACAAAAGGGGAATCACATAAAAACAACAACAATAATACAACATGGGTATCGCCTAACCAAATTATTTTAAACATTGTATTGGCCCGGAATTTCACGACTGGTGCATCCCTAGTCAGGGTAAAATGTCCTCACCTGCAGTGCCATTGTTGCTAGTTGACATGTGGAAGCCATTGTGTTGATGGGAAGTGTAGGCGTGAGAATCTCCTGGGACGTGGACACCACCGACCGTCTGCTCCATCCTGTAGGAGTCTCCGAAATGGAAGCAGCTCTGAAAGCTGCCTTGGTATTCTAGGAAATGAGAAAGGATGTTGAGGAGCGAGGAGGAGAAAAATAGAAGCCAGACTTGATCGACTGCCACCAGTGTCTATGGGCGATTGTTTCCAAGGTCAGTAAGCTTCCCCTCCAGCCGGATAAAACTTAATGTGGACCTCAAATTATGACAATGCTATATTTGTGCTCGTGCTAACTGCGCCAGCCTCAATAGTATGTAACATTTGTCCCCATCGTCTCAAGTTTGTACTCAGAATGGACCGCAGGAGTCACGATAATGGGAAAGCAGCCTTGCCTGGAGCGCTTTTACGCAACTCCCTGACCACAGCGCGGTTAGAGAGACATCCATGTGTAGATCTTTACAGGGAAAACAGTGTTTAAGGCATTAGGAAAAAGGCTCTGGAGTGACAGCTGAGCCTGCCATGCTAGGGCGCTGAGAGACAGCTGAATACATGAGCCAGCATTTTGTTGGCTAATTCAGCTCAGGGAAAAGGCTTCCGGCATGTGGTTTTCCCTACTCTGTCTCTACGACTCTAATCTCTCTCCGTCCTAAAAATGCTCTGACAGAGCCACGGGCCTTTCATGTGGGTCTGCTGGTACGGCAAGTGTTTGAAAAAGGACACAGGGGTGTTCTTATGTATATTCAAGTGATCTGACACTGTAAATTCCCTCGTAGGAAGTTATAAAAAAAAAAAAAAAAGTAGGTTACATGTTACTGAATCACCTGCAACAGGAAAATTTCAGGATATTAAATTGAAACGCCAATGAACGTTTTTAAATTCAAGCCAAAACAGATTTCCTGAAACAAGTTACATTCAGCCAGATGTCTTTAGGTCAGTCTTACCGTCGTTGGCAGACTGATGATGGTGATAGTGAGAGTAGGGCTTGTGGTGAGGGTGGACATGCTGTTTCTCCAGAGGAGGAGGAGGAGGAGGAGGAGGAGGAGGCGGCGTTCCTGTTCCCTTCATCCCCGGAGACAGGAGGGGACCCGACACACTGGAGGAGACACAGACAGAGTGGGTGAAATATACATTTAAACCTCTCGAGCTGTTACTCACTCCTTTCTAGACGGCCTAAATAATTTCTCAATAAAATGCTTCATGCATTGTGACACCCCAATCTAAGCAGGAGCTACACGTCGGCCCGCGAACCACATGATCCGACAAACCCAGCGGAGCAGTTAGTGATCCTAAACACACAGAAGAAGAAACATTCCAGGCGTGTGGAAACTTGGGCTCCCCACACGTAATCGTCCTCCTACCACATATTATGATCTTAAGTCAACAAACAGCAGAGTGTGCATTCAAGTGAAACCAAGCCCCCCCCCCCCCCAACCCCATCCACACACACAAACACACACACACTGCCCACCACAGCAGTAACCCCAGGCTTTGTGGCCCAGAGAGAAGAAAGCACAATAGTGTTTATATTCATGACATTTGAGAAATAGAAATATTACAATGACAGGTTTGTGACTTTGTGGACTCTGAAAGTCGAGAGAATAAAACTGGCTTATTTTTGGGAATACTGATCATTTGATTAAAGGTTTGTCTGCGCCATTGGATATATTGTTATTTGATGCTGCACTCTCAAATTCACAATTTCAGTGAAGCGTATTACTAAGTTTTCTTTAGGCTCAACATCCAAGAGTCTCACTGTGTGCTGGGAAAACCACAATCAAAGAGGTGAAAGCAAAATATTACGAAGATGATAAACTGGTTCACCCTCAGAACACTCTGCAGCATCTGACTCCAAATTCTGTGTAACACAATATCATCTGACACTAAAGTATGTCGTTGTAATGATGGTTGCTGTCTTTGCTGCTAACTTTGCACATCAAGGGATATCTAAAAATTAGTATAATGACATCATGCATATTAACAGAAATTCCACCACAAAATTAAAGTTGTAAAAAAATTTGCAAATGTAAAAGCTCTTGCAGACATGCCACATTACATGCATGTGATGGCAATTTTACATGTCTATCTCAGGTCTAAATAAGCACCTTTTATATTAAAGTCACAACTGCACAAGTTACGAGATTGCACTGAGTAACATTTCTGTTAACACTTACAAAATGGCACAAGTCTGAAACACTATAAAGCAGGGTTCTCAAAGTTTTTATGACCAAGCACCAAGTTAGGGAGCCAGCACATGGGCCAGGAAAACAGGAAAAATGCAGTTGTGATTTGTCCATTGAAATCACTAACTTAACAGGACTAGCATTGATTACAGACCAAAGTTCCTGTGAAACTTACAAGATGACACTATGTTTCAGCCTCTGGGCCTTCTTCAAAATAAACGAATAGAAGGAAGGAAGAAGGCTCAAAGGCTGAAACGTCATCAAAATAAAAGAAATGCCTATGGAACCAGTGTCCGACACTTGTTTCCTACAATCAAGTCTACTTCCAGTGATCAGCACCTCATTGTAATTTTTGGTGTACATTAATTTTATACTTAAAATAGCACTTAGGATTACCATGACCTGGATGACTGAGAATCTTCACAAATATATAACCAGTAGCTTTCTACCAGTTGCCATTCCCACTCTGACAGACGCTTATTAGTGGGGTGCAGTTTGACACTGTAGCCGAGGAGTACACTAATTGTAAGATACTGAAAGTTAAGGAACTTAAATGGACCCCAGATGAGTAGAATATAATGCATGCATTTCATGTAACATTCTGGCGGCTGCACAAAATGGGTCACCATTGGCCCGCAGGCTGTACTTTGAGTAACTATGCTCTAATGGAGTAGTTTGACATTTTCAGAAATACTTGAATACTCGCTGTTACTCTCTCTGGGTATGTGTGTGTGAGTATGTTTATGTTGGTGGGTGGGCAGGGGGTGAATATTTTTTATATGTGCTTAAATATGAATTCATGACTTATTTCATTGTGAAGCCCATACAGCTTACACTGTATTAAACGTGCTATATTAATAAGAATTATTTATTATTATTTATATTAATATATGCATTTTTTTTTTGGCAGAAAAAATGGATTGTACCAATCCATTGATCTTGATCGTTGTACTGATTCAATGACCCAACCCAATACATCTGTCCAACGTGAAAACACTGGTCTATATTATCATCTTTAGGATACACCTTTATTTTGAAATTCTGTGTCACTTTCAAACATTGCTGGGCGGATGATGGCAAGCTGCCAAGAAAAAGACAAGGATGTTATTTACTGGGCAATAAATCAGAAGTGTGGACATATTTTGGATTTCAAAGTACAAAGGGGTCAACAGACATGGAACATGCCACATGTAAACAATGCCATTACAAGCTAAAACAAGATATACCTGCCTGCTGGGCATTTCACTCCGCTAACTTCAACATCAGCTGCTTTATTTCGACAATGTTCAGCTGAAACAATGTGCATGCAGGATGAAATTTAACCGTGATGTTCTGTTGTAACATGCAGTGAATTACACCAGCAATGAGTGAGAAAAAGTATAAATGATAAATATAATTTGCTACGCACTGATTAGATGAAACATCCACTAACCGCGAGGCTAATTTATGCAATGTAAAAGTGCTTACGCTAACACTGAGCAACAAACTTGGCAGTGAGATTTGGGAGATATTTGCCTTCAGGGGCTTTGAGCCAGATAACTCTGATGTTTTAGAAGAAAAAAATCATAGTTTGGGTTAAAATGAAAGATTTCTTCCAAAAAGGGCTCTCTGGTAGAAAGCCCTGAAGTTTAACTTATCCCAAGTGCTGCTTACTACAAGTTACAATTATTTATGTGGCGTTTTTATTGTTTATGGCCAAAAGCGATAAAGAAAGAGGTGGCAGCTTCTTCTGAAATAAATGATCATATAACGTCGTCTCGTATTGATTGCAGTAGGGCTGCCCCCTAATAGTTGACCAAACAGTCGACCAGAAAGGTCTTTAGTCCGTAAGATTTCATTGGTCACTTAGTCACAGGAAAAAAAGAAACGAAAAGGAAAACAAAACAAAACAAAAAAAAAGTTAAAGTCAGGACATGTGTACGGCCCCTAATTTCCAGGTCTGGTACCTGCAGTTATTCCACAGGCTAGTTAATAACATGTCGGGCAGGAAATCCAAAGTGTGGGATCATTTTGAGAAGGTGAAGGACAAACCCAAGGTGATATGTACAAACATGACGTATCATCTGAAACATGGAAGTAGCTACATGCCCATTAGCCGACAGCGCCATTAACAGGCGGCTCGCTCAGTGTGTGACGTGCACTTGTAGATAAAATATAGGCCTATATTAATGAAGGTTCATTAATACAGTTTTGTATTTCTCTGTAATGTAGCAGTGTTAACAATGTTACTGATACTATTCTTTCTCACACCTTCAACTCAAACCATTGTGTTGCCCTACTCTAAACATATAATTCAATAAGTAAATTAATATTGTAAACATGTGGGCGACTAGACTACTAATGGCCCTAAATGACGACTATTGGTCGACTAGGAATATTCCTAGTTGGGGGTAGCCCCAGATCATGAGCCCCTAAACTAAATTGATTGAAAGTGAAATTGAACTGTGGCAGACTTTGTGATATCAGCAACAACTGTATCGTCTAAAGAATCGATACATAATCGTCTCGTGATGAAACTGGTGATTTAAACCTCTAGTCTTTATGATCAGTGTGGAGCTAGAGCCTGGAGACAGTTAGCCTCGCACAAAGGCTGGATACAGAGGGAAACAGTTTGCCTTGCTTTGCCAAAGGTAAAAAGCATCACGTCTAAAGCTCATTAATCTATATTTTTATGTTGTTTATTTAATCCACATAAAAATGCAAACAGGTCGTACATATTAAACGAGATATGACGTGTTAATAAGTGAGCTGCAGAAGTGGACTTGTTTTACCTTCAGGCAGAGCCTGGCTTGTCTTTATGCTATAAGAGAGATATTTATGTGCGTCTTGTTGTGCCTTTATAAGATCACGGTGATAATTTGACCCAAGAGCAGTAACAACCATGTCTGGTATTTATTCAGACACTTAAATGTTAAATGTGAACGTTAATAAAAAACTGAAATTGACCACAGATTTAACGACTTAATGCTGTGCTCTTGACATTAACTTGATGCAACGGCAATCTGGTCCAAATCCAGACTGATAGACAACAGACCTGCCTTTAAAAACAGACCTGGCCGATCACCTCCCCAAATATTCAGCAGCTACTTAGTACCCTCTCATGACTGCATATCAGGAATGCCAACACATAAACTGCTGCTGTGTTACTATGCGGCGCTGCACTGTGGAAGCATATGGTTTGCACTAAGCGCTATATGAATGTGATGACAGAGTGCAGCTAAAGGCAGCCGGGACCTCTGATGACTGCTCACTGCTGGCCTGGCTGGAGCCTACTATATGACCTACTGCTCCACGCATGAGGGACGTCCCACCCAGCACTCAGTAGCTGGCAGTGGCTTTGTGAAGGGCATTTGGCAGAGAGTGGCTGATAAAGGAAGATGGTAAATGATGTCAAACAAAAGGGTGAGAAGCGGTGAAATGTTCCTGCCAATGCTGAATTTATTTTATGTCGCTGTAGGATAAAGCCTCAGGCTCCCAGTGTTTCTGCCTTCATCAATAGAGATCACCATAAAACTGTACATAAAAAATATACAGTGGCATACTCTTTTTATTACTCTCTATAAGAGAGGTCATGTTTTTACTCTTCTTTTTGTTGGCCTGTCTCATAAACACATCAATGGATCCTATGGACTTTGGTGGAGAGAGGAGGCCTGGGGCCAATTGACACATGACTATATATCAGTGATCATCTAAATCTGAATCTGTTATACTGACGACCACTGGTGCAAACACAGTAACTAGGTGTATTTACTCAAGTGGTGTACCTAAGTACAGTGTTGATGTACTTGACTTGAGCACTTCTATTTTACTCCACTACAAACATTGTACTTTTTTAAAATATGATGTATGATTAAACAGTAAACTCTCCAACGTTACATAAAGTAGTAACACTAGCTCCACATTAATCAGCTAC